TCATATGATACATGTCTTTCTCTGATTGACTTATTTTGCTCAGTATAATACCCTCCAGTTCCATCTACATCGTTGCAAATGGCAAGATTTCATTCCTTTTGATGGCTGCATAATATTCCATTGTGTAAATGTACCACATCTTCTTTATCCATTCATCTGTCGATGGACATCTTGGCTCTTTCCACAGTTTGGCTATTGTGGACATTGCTGCTATATACATCGGGGTGCACGTACCGCTTCAGATCCCTACATTTTATCTTTGGGGTAAATACCCAGTAGTGCAATTGCTGGGTCGCAGGGTAGCTCTATTTTCAACTTTTTGAGGAACGTCTATACTGTTTTCCAGAGTGGCTGCACCAGCTTGCATTCCCACCAACAGTGTAAGAGGGTTCCCCTTTCTCCGCATCCCCGCCAACATCTATCGTTTCCTGACTTGTTAATTTTAGCCATTCTGACTGGTGTGAGGTGGTAGCTCGTTGAGGTTTTGATTTGGATTTCCCTGATGCCAAGCGATGTTGAGCACTTTTTCATGTGTCTCTTGGCCGTTTGGAATGTCTTCTTTGGAAAATTATCTGTTCGTGTCTTTTGCCCATTTCTTGATTATGTTTAAAAAAAAAAGAAAATAGTAGGAAGGGAAAAACGAAGGGGGGGAAAATTGGAGGGGGAGACGAACCATGAGAGACGATGGACTCAGAAACAAACTGAGGGTTCTAGAGGGGAGGGGGGTGGAGGGATGGGTTAGCCTGGTGATGGGTATTGAAGAGGGCATGTACTGAAGGGAGCACTGGGTGTTATACACAAACGATGAAATCATGGAACACTATATCAAAAACTAATGATGTAATATATGGTGATTAACATAATAAAAAAAGGAGGAAAAAAAATAAAAGTAAATTCTTTTTTTTTTTTTTTAAAGATTTATTTATTTATTTGAGAGAGCGAGAACGAGAGAGAGAGAGTACATGAGATGAGGGGAGGGTCAGAGGGAGAAGCAGGCTCCTCGCTGAGCAGGGAGCCCGATGCGGGACTCAATCCTGGGACCCCGGGATCATGACCTGAGCCGAAGGCAGTCGCCTAACCAACTGAGCCACCCAGGCGCCCATAAAAGTAAATTCTTACTAAGAGAGGAAGAGTTGCCTTCTTGTGTCTTAGTTGAGTGAGATCTGGAAATCAAATCTGTTCCTGTCCTGCTAGAGGACACTTCTGCCTTACACAGTGATAGAAGAGAGCTTCTGGACCCTACAAATGGGATTAGAGCTCTCCATAACTGCATATTTACAGGCCTACAAATTTTGGCAGGCCCTTTATTCACATGACTATTCTATACTGTATTTATGAGCATGTTATTATGGGCACTGTTATTAACTGGCCTTACCTTTTAAAGAATATTATAATCCACTTAATTGGTAGGACCAGAAAATGGTCAGGGAATGACATACATTTCAAGCTATAATGTCTTACTTCTGTTAATATAAAAGTTATGTATCAGCTAAATTTGATTCAGTTTAAAACAGCGTAGGCCAGACTGTGTGGTTTGTGGACCCCTTGCTCTAAAATCCTGAAGTTTTTGTTAAAAATGCAGATCTCTGGGTAAATGTTTATCATCTGGTTTACAAGTATAACAACTGTCTGACATAGTGATTCTGCCCCAAGCTCACCTTTCCCATGATTTAGTTTATAGATGACTGTCTCGTGTATAGTAACTGAAAAAAACTGTTAGATTCTAGAATTGTGGCTTTTGTTCATGGTTTGAAAAATGAAGCATAAACATTTCTAATTTCAGATCAACAGCAAAAAGAAAGAATCAGCATGGGAAATGACAAAAAGCTTATATGATGCATGGTCAGGATGGCTAGTAGTAACACTAACAGGATTGGCATCAGGTAAAGAAAAATTTTAATGTAATCCTTTTTTGGTTAACAGAAAAATAAATCGTTCTGCACTCCTTCCCACAATGTTTTTTTCAGGTCCTGTTGGATTTTTAAAAGTATTTATTTTGTTTCTTTTAAGAAATCTTAAATATAAGACTAGGAGGCAGGAAGCTTCAGAGTCTAGTCTTGGCTCTGTCACTTTAAGTGTCTATGCAGTTTGGTTGATCTTTCTGGGTTCAGTTTCTGTGTCTGTAAAATACGTGGTTTGGTCCAGATAAACAATAAAGTATCTTGTAATATTAACATCATAATAAGTAGCTACTGTTTACTGAGTGTTTCATGCACTGCCTTAAAATCTTTACATGTATGTAAACTGCATGGCAGTCCTGTGGTATAAGTACTGCGGTTACCACCATTTTACAGATGAGGTGCCTGAGCACAGAGAGAGGTTTAGTAACTTGACTAAGGTCATGTAGCTTGTAAGTGGCCAGGCAAAGATTTGCATTTAGGCAGTTCTGCTCAAGAGTCTGCATTTCAACTACCATGCTATCGAGTGCCCACAACGTGCCGATGTGTTAGATTTTAAGAAATAGGAGTTGAAGATCTGAACACAAACTTTAAGGACTGTTTTAATGACTTTCAGCTTCCACCATGGAAGATTATGTCTAGAAGAACATGAGGAAAATTAAAATGTATGTGGTGAATAGAGGGAAGTACTGATACCTCTAATTGACATGCACAAGAATTTTGTGACCCCTGTGTATGTGACCTAATGATCTTTTTATATGATGAGAAGGTCCTAGATTTTGACCATAAATTTTGTATGTTTTTTGTATTCTGTCATTAAAATGATCTTGGCATGTTTAATTTTCTGTTATTTAAGGAGAAAACTGAAAGTCTGTCACAGTAATTCATTAATGCTATGAGTTTCACTATTTCTAATGGACATTAAATTTTAATGATATTGATACCATTTGCATATTTATTAAGTTTCAGATTGAAACATAATAGTAAAAACTTTGACTTTAATAACCTGATTTGTGAACCTCCTGCTAGATAGCTGTCTTTTAAAGATGTTTTAGTGTCTTTAAACACTTTTATTACAAATCACAATTAATTTAAATGATGTATTTAGTTTTAATTTCAAACAAAGAGTAGCCATTTTATATTAAAGAGTGGCTATCTATACTTTTTTAGAAGTAATATAAACTTATACCTAAGACTTAAAAATCTTAAATTTATATAATATTCCCTATGTGACCCTTTATGTATAGGGAGTCTGCAGCTTTCTTTGACCCTCTTAACTTGATAGTTCTTAACACTCCAAAAATGGTTTTTTTTTTTTTTTTTTTTTTTTTTTTTTTTTTACTACCTTCAACATGTTTTTACAGGGGCACTGGCTGGACTAATAGACATTGCTGCTGACTGGATGACTGATCTAAAGGAGGGCATTTGCCTTAGTGCATTGTGGTACAACCATGAACAGTGTTGTTGGGGATCTAATGAAACAACATTTGAGGAGAGGGATAAATGTCCACAGTGGAAAACATGGGCAGAATTAATCATAGGTCAAGCGGAAGTAAGTCTTGCTGGGTCTGAAGATGAATTAGTAATTGTTATGGCTAAGTAAATCTCCATTTAATTATAGAATTAATCACATATTAGATGATTGTAACTGCATTAAAAGAAAAAAAGAAATGTAATAGGATAGATTGGAAAATAGAAGAATACCTTGCGGCAAGTAAAATGTAAAGTTTCAAGAAGCTCTATTAATTAACTACATAGTTACATTCAAGTCTATTCAATTATGACATTAAATATATTTCTTACTGTAGAAAAGAAGTGCAGTAGGATCAAAGTTAATAGGAAGTCAAGTTATTAAAACTGCCTAACATATTGTTGGGAAGTATAAATTATCAAAAAGTTTAGTAAAATAAGCCTTGTAACTGGAGATACCTTGAAGAAATCCATATATTTTTCTTTGTAGCATTATACTATTTAAATGATTACTGTTCTTGACATTCTGTAATGAAGAACATTGTAAAAATTAGAATGTTATATAATATATATAGTTACATGGTCATATAAGGATATGTTTTAAAAATTTTGTTATAGCTGAATTTTTGAGCTAAAAAGAATATATTTGCTGATAACATGGGCAGTGCTGTTTCTCACTTGATCTTCAGGAGAACTGCAGAGGAATGAGATCTAAATGCAAATGCAATTTCGTCTTCAACTATTTCCAAAATGTGTTTTGTGGGTAGGCAGAGGTTAAAGTGTAGCAGATTTTTGGCAACAAGACTTTAGGTATCAAGAAAAAGCTAGGAAAACATTAAACAGATTAAGCCTCCTTGTATACATGAATATGTTTTTTGATTTTTCCTTAAGTATTTTGTTCATATAAAGCTTTAACTATTGTGGAAGTAAACCAGGAAACTTAGGAGTTTCACACAAGTTTCTTATGTGGCAAGCACTTGCATTCAGGGTGCACTATACATTAAATTCATACTATACGATTTGCCTTTTAGGGTCCTGGTTCTTACATCATGAATTACATAATGTACATCTTCTGGGCCTTGAGTTTTGCCTTTCTTGCCGTTTCCCTGGTAAAAGTATTTGCTCCATATGCCTGTGGCTCTGGAATTCCAGAGGTAAGCCATGCAATATTTTAGTATCATTTAAACATTTGGTAATTGTGATGATGTTGATCTTTTTGCCTTTAGGGGGAAAAAGTAGTTGTTTTTCTGGGGAAATTGTTTGTAATGTCAAAAAGAAAATTTTAAAAATGTAAGTTGATTGTAGATATCACAAGAAATTCTTCCCCATAGTCATTTCATCGTTAACTGTGGAGGTTGAGTTTTTTTTTTTTCCACCACTAATTTAGCACGTGAGTAAGCAAATATCAGAAAACTCAGTTATAAAGCTGGAAAAGTATTATGTGGCCTAAAGTTCTTTGATGGATTAGTTGATGTTTTGCTGCTATGAACCTGATTTGAATATATTTACTCTTTTTATATGACTATTTTTTTTAAAGGTTTATACCTCAGTCTTTACTACTGTATTCTGAAAAACAAGTTCCCCCAAGTTTTAAAAAGTAACAATTTTAATTGCTGCTGATTAAAGCAATTTTTTTATAAACATTTCTATCATATTTAAAAGGTCAAGTTCATTCAACTAAGAACCAATTAGAATATGTGACAACCCTAAATCTAATTTTCTGGCCAAGAAATAAAGCAAGGTTATCCATATAAAGACAGACACAATCCTAAAGACCCTAAGCCTTGACCTGGAGAAGGCTATGCACAGCTGGTGGGGAAAAACAACTTATTTATAGTTTTCCAGCGAAAGTTCTAAGTTTGGTTTTTTGTTTTTACCTCTGCATCACTGCATTTCTATTTATATTACAAGGGTGCTAGATTGTTTCAATTTGTATCTTCTGATTCTGTAAGTCCCTCTATAGTTACCCACAGAAGTTACTACATTTATAAATACCAAAGATGTAACAATTCTCAAATTTTCTAGATTACTCCAATAAAATATTTTGTTTTCCTATGATTTGAATATCTGTATTGTCTCTGTAACAAAGCTGGGGGTCGGCATTATAGATACATAAACATAACAGTCAAAAAAAAATCTACTTTCCTGAACTTTATTAAAGAAAAAGCAGTGATGGTAAATCTCGAGAACAGTCAATTTTCTAGGATTCTTCCTTGAAAATGTGACATTTGATTTCCAAACACATGCCAGAGCGTAAATGGTTCCCAATTGTACTAAGTAGGTGAGAAGCTGAAATCCTAAAATGTTCATCTTCCAACTTTCCCCAGTCTGTGGTCTGTCTTTGGATCAGCAATAATTGCCTGAACAGCTACTATGGCTTCATTAATTTTTGTCTGTAGCTCTCTGAGCTCTTCTATATGCAGCAATCGCAGAATTTGAGCAGCTTCATTAAGAACTGCATCTCCTGTGTCAAAACCAAGAATATGTTTGTCTAAAGCAACAGGCAAGCCCTCTTTCGTTTGATTTGCTTTAGCAACTGCATCCTGGGTCAGGCGCTCCTGGACCAAAATGCGAATTGCCTTAAGCATTACCAGGTAATCATCATGACGCTGAATCTGAAGAAGGTTAGCCAAAGCCATTACACCAGCCTTAAAATCAGGATTATTTACCTCCAAGTTGATCAATGGCTCTGCATTTTTAGCTGCATTGTCAGCATTTTTTGTATTATCAGGTACCAAGTCCTTGTATTTTTCAGCATTATCTCCATATTCAAGTCTAACAGCTAAACCAAGAAGCCAGTCAGTTGCTTCTTGTCGCTCTTGAATCTTGAAAGGACAGTTAACATCTTTGAGATACTTTTCAAAGAACTTGGGCCAGTCACTACTGTGGATGTTTCTTAAATTACCTCTGTCTTCAGTCTTGTAGTGTCTGATTTTCTGGTCTTCAAGCCAAACAATAAAGTTTCTAAATTCTGTTTCATCTTTGCAATTGAAGCCAGCCAGGTTGTGGTAGTCGAGGGCCGTCAGCTTGCATCGGAACATGGTCCCCGTGTCTCGCTCTGGTTCCCTGGGTTCGGCCGGGAGAGGACAGGCGGGGAAGAGCGGGCGGCGCAGGCACCGGCGACGTGGCGAAAAAGGGCCATGACTATTTTTTAATTAAATAAGTTAATAGTTCTTGAATTTGACAGATAATATTTATAACAATTTTGTACTTTAAATAAACATTTGACCATAGTGAGGCAATAGTATAAACTTTTGGGTTTTAGGGCGCCTGGGTGGCTCAGATGGTTAAGCGTCTGCCTTCGGCTCAGGTCATGATCCCAGGGTCCTGGGATCGAGTCCCGCATTGGGCTCCCTGCTCCTTGGGAGCCTGCTTCTCCCTCTGCTTCTCTCTCTCTCTCTCTGTCTCTCATGAATAAATAAATAAAATCTTTAAAAAAAAAAAAACTTTTGGGTTTTATTTTTTATCAACAGTAATTTAAGGAATATACTCAGAATTGAATGGTGTAATTTAAAGAATATACTTAGGATTGAATGGTGTGATGGGAATTCATTTCTTTCCCCTCTTAATTTTTCTGTCTTATCAGCTTTTTCTAATGCATTTCCTTTTGAAACTTAATTTTAGTGATTTTTAAAGTTTTGTTAATTAAGAATGTCTTCAATAAGGGGCAATATCATGCAGCATTTAGCTGTTGTCACTTATCCTTCTTAATATATAGGAAAATATTACACATAATGGCAGCACTCTGAGAAGACAAAATATCCTGATTTCTGACACAGAATATCTGAATGTATTTAACTATATTTCTACAACAGAAATATTCAAATTTACCTTTTCCTTATTATGTAGTTACAACCCTTGTATTAAGGTCTGTATTCCTTTTAACATGGCCTTATATTCTAGTTTTGTTCATGAGATAGGGTTGCCTTCAATCCTTGCTTGAGAAGAGAATTAGAATATGATAGAGATTTATTATGTAGCATAATAGTTAAAGCTTTTGAAAAATTGTGAATTGTTCCATGGTTCACCAAAAATATTTGCAGGGTGGTTTTGTGAGTAAAACAAGAGAGTAACTTAAATTAGTTAAATTTTCCTGTTTCTTAAAGGAAATTAAGCTGTCTTAATCTTTTCTTTGTAGATTAAAACTATTTTAAGTGGATTCATCATCAGAGGTTACTTGGGAAAATGGACTTTAATGATTAAAACCATCACATTAGTACTGGCTGTGGCATCAGGTTTGAGTTTAGGAAAAGAAGGTCCTCTGGTACATGTTGCCTGTTGCTGTGGAAATATTTTTTCCTACCTCTTTCCAAAGTATAGCACAAATGAAGCTAAAAAAAGGGAGGTAAGTATCTTTGTGGTTTATTTGACAGATAAATATTACATAGACTTAGTGAGTAATTTTCTAGTGTAAAGATCGTGTTTTAACTCGTTACTTTTTGGTTAAATTCTGTATTCAGATTCAAATGTGAGAACTGTTTGCTTCTTTCCCCCTTTTTGAGTATCTCTAATATCTTTCTAGAATCTATCCTCAGTGCTGCTCAGTTACTCTGGTATTTTAGAGAAGTTTTGGTAGACTACCTGGTCCATTGGTTTCAGTTGAATTTCACAAAGCTCTTTCCATTTGTTTTTGCTTTGCCTTACACCTTTCTTCCTCTGAAGTTTTTCCCAAATGTAACATTATTTTTCCTCTGATTTCTCACCATCAGTATTTTTCCAGGGTTGGGAAGTCTTAACAGCTGTGTTTTCCTCTGGAGGAAGTGTCTAATGCCCCCGAGAGAGGTGTGTCATCTGCAGAGAGCTATCTGGCACCATGAAGATGTTCTGAGGGCCTTTAGGACCTCCTGAGGTTTAAATCAGAGATTCATACTAAAGGGAATATAGGAATTCCTCTTTATTCAGCTGTTTAGGAACATTTATTTCCTTTACTTTTTTTTTTTTTTTTTTTAGGCCAGCCCGAGATCTTTTAGGAGGGCTTTAAACTTTATTTATTATAGAGTTCCCTAATGTTTGTACATTGCTATGGATATTTTCTAGAAGAAAAATGGGCTCCTGAGACCTTTTGTATTAGCTCTACACTTTGGGAGCTCAATCCCTTCTTGTTTTCCCAATCTAATCTGTAGGCCAAGGTGGTACGGAGCACTTTGGGTTTTCAAGATACCATATTTTTATATAATTAAATATTGAGAACTCAGAGGTCTCTGACCCTAGCACAGGACTTTTCATCCTGTTGTTTTTAATACTATAACAAAAAAGTAGAATATTTTTATCAAGCTATTTGATTCTTCAATTGAAATGATTTCTCTTTCATTTAGTGTTAGTACTAAAACATTGTTCGTACATTGGCAGTAGTCTGAAAGAGGAACATTTCAGACCGTCATAGTTCCACCTCTGAATGATAATTGTGATTCTAGTACTATGCTCTAACACAAATAGCTAACGTTATTGATTACTTATTATGTATCTGGTTCTGTGACAAGTCCTTGCATTTTAAAATTTAGATCCACAATAATCCTATTAACTTGGCACTATTGTCCCCATTTATAGATAGGAAATTAGGGCATAGAGCTGCTAACTTGTCCAAGATTATGTAGCAGAGTGTCAGAGTATGGATTAAAATTTATTTTTCTCTGACTCCAAAGTCTGTACTCCTTACTACTACTACTATTTCTGTGACTGTGGATATGTGTGTATGTTAAAAACAAAACAAAACATAACCTAAAACTATGTTGTAGCAGAGCAAATTAGGGCTAAAATGGAGCTATAGCATTTGTCTTTCCAGTGCAATTCCTTTACTTGCTATTGTACCTTGACATTTGGGGGTAAGATTTTTATTTTTATTCATTTTAAGTGCAAAATGTAATTTATTAGAAAATGCCATAGAAATTAAATTCACTTAAATTTTAAGATATACACTGTGATGATTAGTAATGTTTATGACATTAACTTTGTTCATCTTAGTATATAATGGCTGGAGTTTACTTATTAGTTGAAAACATGAAGGCCTCATATTTTGGCTTCTATGTTCACTTCCTTGACATTTTTAATTAAATGATTCCTTGATACTTATAAAACATTAAAATGTGTGTGTGAGTTATAAGTACTGGGTGTTAGCTTGATGTAAAATTCTGTTATATTAAATGTACAGAGAATTCAGTTAAATGTGTTGTCTACAATCCTGTTAGTGGGAAAAAACAAAATCATTAAATTTGCTGTCCTCCCCCATATAAGCAGAGTCTGCATTCTGAAAGCCAGGTACAATTTACTTATTTTTTTAAAATTATTTATTTATTTGAGAAAGAGAGAGAGCAAGAGAGCAGGGGTAGGAGCAGAGGGAGAGGGAGAGAGAAACGCAAGCAGGCTCCTCGCTGAGAGTGGAGCCCAAGTTGGGGACCCATCTCACAACCGTGAGATCAGACCTGAGCCAAAACCAAGAATTGGATGCTTAACCAACTGCACCACCCAGGCGCCCCTAGCCAAGTACAATTTAATTAAAATAAGTATTGCTTATTTTTAATTTGCCAAACAGCAGGCTGATAATGGAGATCATGGTCTTAATTATATATAATTTAATTTTGATTATTTGCAGTTTCTTTTTCATAAATGTAAAACTTGACCATTTGGGGAAATGCTTTGGTACCCTCAGATATTTACTGGAATGAAATAGTGAAGGGAATAAAGACTCTTAGAAAAGTAATTACAATATAAATGTCCAATGAATGTGTATGTGTAGTTGGTTTCACACTGGTGGGAAGTGGGCAATGTCCAAGTGACAGACTGGGGAGGTGGAGAGAGAATCTGTAAGAACGTTTGTGGATATTTTTGTCATCTTTAACTTTATTGTAGGGTTCCAGTTTGGAAAGACTACCTCATAAGGGGGTAGCCATTGTTTTTGCTTTAGAATGAGGCTTTCCAAATTGGCAGTAGCAGTATTTTCAGAGGATTTAGAGTAGTGAAAATAAGGTAACTCAATAGGTTTTAAGTTCTCTAGATATTTTACTACGATTTAGACAACAATAATTATTAGGGGCACCTGGCTGGCTCAGTCAGTAGAGCATGCAGCTCTTGATCTCAGGGTCATGAGTTCAAGCCCCACGTTGGGCATAGAGCTTACATAGAAAACATTAATTATTAATGGTGAAGCAGTTAGCTCTAAAATCTGAAGAAATTATATCCTTGGGCGCCTGGGTGGCTCAGTTGGTTAACCGTCTACCCCATGATCCCAGGGTCCTGGGATTGAGTCCTGCATCGGGCTCCTTGCACAGTGGGGAGTCTGCCTCTCCCTCTAATCCTCCCCCCTGCTCATGATCTCTCTCTCTCACTCTCTCTCAAATAAATAAATAAATGAATAAATTATTAAAAAAAAAATAAACTACTCTCCCCCTAAACCCCAGTTACTGTTCTCTCTACTGGTCTTCCCAAACATCTTGATAATTGTGTGTATTCATTGCCTTTTTCTTCTTTGCATTCTATTTACATTAGTGTATCTTGCACAAATGTTTTTTAATTGAATATCGAATATGTGAATGACCTGTCAGTTAAAGCAGAAGAGAAAAAATATCTTTTTAGAGGAAATAAATAATGGCCTCTGCTTGGGGAGATGGGGTAGACATGTGAGTTAACTTCAGGAGAGGCGTTTCAAAAATTCAGGCAACATGAAGAATTTTTATTTGGTATATTTGAATTTATAAGAATATATGAAATAAGCCAAATTCTCTTTTTAGGTACTATCAGCTGCCTCAGCTGCAGGGGTTTCTGTAGCTTTTGGTGCACCAATTGGAGGAGTTCTTTTTAGCCTGGAAGAGGTAGGTAAAGAAAACAGCAACTATAACATTATGCATAATTACCATTACAAATATATTTTGGCACGCTTTTCTGTTATCTAGCTAGTGTAATAAATACAGACTGTTCTTAAGTTTTCAGATTTAACTTCGTAAAGTTATTTTTCACTTATTCTTACTTATAGATTAATATATTACATATGTTCTTTACCTTGAGAAAGGCCTTAAAAATATTATTCATGTATAAATATTAAGTGATTATTTAAAATTAAACTTTGTTGATGTATTTAAAAGTAAGCAGAAATGCATTTGGCTTAGTAGAAATTATTTAACCACTGTTTGTTATATTATCACCCATGTTTTTATTTAAAAAGTTTTAATCAATTTCTAAATTGTGAGTTTGTATGCTTATTTCTGGGGTAGTTATTGATGTTTAAGAAAATTATTTTAGTTGCATCAGTGGCATATTTTGTTTTTGTTTTCTCATTGGTGCTTAAGACTTTTTACATATTTACACAAAAATGTGACTAGGAATGGTTTAAAATTTGCTTTTCCAGTTTGTGTTCTTTTCCTCTTTTTTCTTTAATATAGAAGAGACAAATTAAATACTTCTTTATGAGCTCATAAGAGTTGGTGATGGTGCATTTATTCTTCACTACATGAGGTGAAACTCACTTTGAAAATGAAACAATGCTAGGTATCTGAAATAATTACTAGACATTTTTGATCAGTTGATACTGGGAATTTGTAATGATGTGATAGCCAAAGTTAATAAAACATCGATTTTTTTCTCACCACAGTAAAATCTATTATATGTAAACACTAGCTGCGGCAAAAATTAGACGATGATATTCAAGTTATAAGATACCAGAAACATCTTATAAAATTATAGCATTAATTTTTCTTTTTCTTTTTAGGTTAGCTATTATTTTCCTCTTAAAACTTTATGGAGATCATTTTTTGCTGCTTTAGTGGCTGCATTTGTTTTGAGATCCATCAATCCATTTGGTAACAGCCGTCTGGTCCTTTTTTATGTGGAGTATCACACACCATGGTACCTTTTTGAACTGTTCCCTTTTATTCTCCTCGGGGTATTTGGAGGGCTTTGGGGAGCCTTTTTCATTAGGGCAAATATTGCCTGGTGTCGTCGCCGCAAATCCACCAGATTCGGAAAGTATCCTGTTCTTGAAGTCATTGTTGTTGCTGCCATTACTGCGGTGATAGCCTTCCCTAATCCGTATACCAGGCTCAACACTAGTGAGCTGATCAAAGAACTTTTTACAGACTGTGGTCCTCTGGAATCCTCTTCTCTTTGTGACTACAGAAATGACATGAATGCCAGTAAAATTGTTGATGATATTCCTGATCGTCCAGCAGGCCTTGGAGTGTATTCAGCTATATGGCAGTTATGCTTAGCACTCATATTTAAAATTATCATGACAGTATTCACTTTTGGTATCAAGGTAAGTGCTAATGTGAGGTGTTAGTTAAGTAATTTTGTCATGTTTAAAATGTGTGTGAAATGAGCAGTGAAATGTTTATCTAAAGGTGGTTATTTCATAAATGTAGGCTGAAAAAGTTCTTATCTTTTGGGTTTCATTTTACGTAATGAATAAAAGAATTCCTTCAGATATATTGTTGAACATGGTTATCTGTTACTGTGTAACAAATTACCCCAAAACCTAGCAATTTAAGATACCTAGTTATTTTGCTTTTGATATTGAGTCAATAATTTGGGAAGGACTCAACTGGGCATGTTTTGTTTGTGGTCTGTCATACATGTCATCAGACATGGCTAAGGCTGGTCATCTACCACCTGGGCTGGGAAGATTCAGACAACTGGGTCTGGAACATCTGGGCTCCTGGAACATCTCTCTCTTTCTCTGTCTGTCTCTGTCTGTCTCTCGGTTTTTCCAGCTTGGTGCCTTCTGGGCATTTAGATTTCTTACATGGTAGCTCCTTGTCCCAAGAGGATCGTTTTTAACCTCGCCGGGGAAGTCATGCACCATGCCTCATGTTACTTTCTATTTGTCTGGGCAGTAACAGAGGCCTACCTCTTAATGGGAGCAGTGTCAGGGAATTCATGGTGACGTTTTAAAAGCACTTATATTAGTTTCCCTTTGCTGCTATAATAAACTACCCTAAACTTAGTGGCTTAAAAATCACACCAATTTATTACAGTTTTGGCGATCAGAAGTCCAAAATGGGTCTCACTGGGCTAAAATCAAGGTGTTCATAGGGATTTATGGAAGTTCTAGGGGAGAGTCCATTTCTTGCCTTTTCTAGCCTTCTAGAGGCCACCCACATTCCTTGGCTCATGGCCCCCTTCTCCCATCCTCAAAGCCAGTAATGGTTAGTTAGGTTTTTCTTTTATCTCATTATCCTGACACTTAACTCTTCTAAATCCTTCTTCCACATTTAAAATAACCTTTGTGATTACTTTGAGCCCACCCAGGTAGTCCGGGATAATATCCTGTTTTAAAGTCAGCTGATTAACCTTAATTTTAGCTGCAACCTTAATTCCTCCTTACTGTGTAACATAAGGAATTCATAGTAATTAGGATATAGAAAAACTCTGGGGAGCCGTTACTCTGCCTATCATGCTACTATAGGGTGTTAGCTTGAAAGGACACTGCAGGCTCTGTTAAATTACTAGCCTGTGAATACCATGTCTTTCCATCAAGGATTTAAGGGAGCTAGACCCAGTGCCCTGGCACATTGCTTCATTTGAATGTACAGAAGTGAGAATAACATTAATTACTTAGTGATTTGCCAGTAAATGTAATTTTCTTATATGACTGTCAGTGCTGTGTATGAGGATCAAATATCAGCTAATCGTTGTTCTTTAAATTAATATTCACTAGTGATAATATGCTTTTGCAGATGTAAATTATGTGGAATAACACCTTAATGTCAACAAAATCATAATGATAGTTTTTGAAATATGGTTTCTTTTCTGTTGTTCTGTACTTAGTCTACTGAGTATAAGAGTTACATAATAGAAAAACCTTGAAGTTAAAAATTTTTTTCATAGTGAATCAAGTTAGAGCAACTATTGAAGCTCCTGTTTCTACGTAAGTTGATTTTCTGTAAATCCCAACTTTCTCGTCTTTAGTTGAGCTACAGGACGCTGGAGACAACTGGCAGGTCTTTGTTAAGTCCCACGATGTCCTGTGCTCTGGCTGAAGAATCCTAACTGGCAGTGGAGTAAAACATATTTTGATCTCTTCTCTTTGGATAGCCTTTTAATGATCCTGATACCGTGTTCAACATGCCATTATTTTGTGCTCAGCTTATTTCATATCCAGAACATTTTGGAGCTATTAGTATTTTAATCTTTAAATGATCTTGCTTAAGATGTTTACTATTCCTATTTTCTTCATTAAATTTAATTGATCGATAAATATTTTTCTCCTTATATGTATCGCTAAAAAATATTGAAGGACCTGGTAAGATTGTCCGCTTCACATTGTACAACTTAAGAGGAATCGCATCTAATATTTTTATCATTTGGTAAACAACAAATATGTAGGAGGGTGTAATTGTGGAGTAAAAGACAGTACTTCACACCAAACTGATTTCGTTTTATGAAAAATGCTTTATATTGTCCTTTTTTCTTTCCCCATTTCAGCATAGACTAATAAAAATTTTGTTAGGGACTGGCATTAAGGAACTCTTGAGCTTAAAGGATAAATAACCCTTGGGTTATTTTCTCTTTGGCCTAGAGAATGTTACTTGTTACTTTGTAACTGAATTCATAAGGTACCAGTAGAACGGTATTTTGCGTACTTTTATTTGTACTAGGATTTTGCTATATAAATAAAATGTGAAAAGAATCAAAAGTGTTATAAAGAAGTCTGTAGAATGTAGGTTCCAAGCATCCAAGTCGAGGATCTCTGCTCAGTTAAGCATTGTGTTTTTGTTACAGGTTCCATCAGGCTTGTTCATTCCCAGCATGGCCATTGGAGCGATTGCTGGAAGGATTGTGGGGATTGCAGTAGAACAGCTTGCGTATTATCACCACGACTGGTTTATCTTTAAGGAGTGGTGTGAGGTTGGAGCTGATTGCATTACACCTGGCCTTTATGCCATGGTTGGTGCTGCTGCATGCTTAGGTAATGAAACTGTGTCTGTGGATGGATGTTTGTGAATCTGAGAGAGAAAAGAGCAAGTGGGAGAGCACGTTTATGCTTGGTTGGTGAGGTGGGGGAGGGTGGTACAGGACAGAGGAAGAGAATGCTTTAACTAAAATGAAACAGTGCTACTATTATATGGTGTTTATGTAGTACTAGTTTTCATTTTGCCTGTCTCTAAACATTTGTTAATGGAAAAATTTAATGGTGGTTAGAATCTTTTAAATATTGTGTAATGCTTTGTAACAGAAAACATCTCAGTACAACCTAGGTTTAATTTGAATCTTGTCCAGGGAAATTTTTGTTCTTTTCATTGTCAAGGATCTTGGCTTCCCTATGACAACTGTAGCATGGTTCCTGAGATTAGCATTCTAGCAAAGTGTCAGACTAGCTTTGGCTCTGCAGTGACTTATAGTTAGCTATAGTGGAAGATTTCTTTACCAGCCCTCCTCCATTTAAGGTGCATTTATAGCAAAATGGAAAAAGGTAACTATTGTTTTAATGAAAAAAAAATATCTGCATTAAATATTTAGGAGTCTATGTGTTCTCTTGGATATGAAAAATAGTTATTTCTTTTTTTTTTTTTTAAGATTTTATTTATTTATTTGAGAGAGAGAGACAATGAGAGAGAGAGAGCCCAAGAGGGGAGAGGGTCAGAGGGAGAAGCAGACTCCCTGCTAAGCAGGGAGCCCGATGTGGGACTCGATCCCGGGACTCCAGGATCATGACCTGAGCCGAAGGCAGTCGCTTAACCAACTGAGCCACCCAGGCGCCCTAGTTATTTCTTTTGATATTTAAAATGTCAGCTGAATTTTGGTTATGATATTTAATAAAAGTTGGTATTTTGACTTATTTTTGTTCAGTGAATCAAAATTATATAATTATTGATCTTCAAAAGTATAATATCAAGTGAAAGTGAGGGACAGAATCATTTTCACCAAAATAGCAATTACTTAGTAGTTATCCACTTTCTCTTTAACAGTGCTAGGTGCAGTGAGTGATACAAAAAGAAGTATAAAACATGGGCCCAACCTCAAGTACAGTCAAGTTGGGGAGACAAGACCAAAACTGAGAAAACAATAGTGAGCATTATATAATGATTAAATATAGTACCGAGTCTAAGAAAATTGTAGGAATCTAGAGAAAAGGAGAGCTGACATAGTTCAGGTAAAGTAGAACATGAGCTTTACTTAAGGAGATTAGTAGAACTTAAAGAAGAGGATTTTTTTAAGGAATGTAATCATGTGAAGGCAAAGGAATTGGGATAGGGATAAATTTAGTATTCATGGAGCTTTGAAGATACCGGCAATATTGAAGTAGAGGGTGTGTTTTGGATACTTTTGGGAAATGAAGTTGGATTAGTGAGAAGGAGCCATATTATGAAAAGGCTGTGGCAGAGTCATGGCTTTGGCATTTGTAGCTTGATGACTTTGGGAATGTTCCTTTGCTTTGATTTTTTATTTTCTTACCTTTAAAATAGAAATAATAACTACTTATCTCCTACTGTTGTTTTGAGGATTATATGAGATCAACTGCATGTAAAGCTGTTAGCACAGTGCCAGGTAAAATAAGTCACTTAGTTTAAAAAAAAAAGCCTTTGTGAACTGACTAGGGATGTGCCTGGCATAGTGTAGATACATAATATATAGTAGGTTCTTTCTCCCTTCTATTTTTAGATTAAAAAACAAAAAGGAAGAGTTTAAGCTTAATACAGTATGAACTGGCGAGCCTTGGTAGGTTTTTGAGCAAAGGAGCAACATGGTGAAAGTAGTACTTAGGAAAGATTAACCTGGGAACATGGCTTATAAAGTGGATTGAAGGTAATGGGGCCTGGAGTCAAGGAGGTAAGATAAAATAGTGTTAAAATTAAGGAACCATGTCTTGAGAGTCTGGACTAGTTTGGTAATAGTGACGTATTGAGAAAGAGACCCATAGATAAATATTTTGCAAAGCTAATCAGATAGGACTTGTGAGGGTGTAGGTGTTGGAGTAAAGTAAAGGCATAGACCTGGAATGACTATCTAGGTTGCCGGGAAGAATGTAGTGCTGGTGCTGGAGTCAGGAAAGTTGGGATGGGTAGCTCTTTGGGAGAAGAAGAAGATTTTGGTTTCAAGTGTGTGGTGTTTTTTGTGACAGTGGGTCATCCAGAGTCTTTTTACAGTTGGAAAACGAGACAAGCAAGCAATAAGATAAGGTATGCAGAGTTGGAGACATGGGGCAAATGCAATAGTAAGTGGAGAGATGTGGATTATGATGCATCAGCATACGGATGGTAGTTCAGAATGATGATTTGGGTAAACAAATAGATGAGTTTTCTAAGGAAGGGGATATTACCCTGTTAACATAAATCACAAGGCATTAAAATATTTTACTCATTTTGAAAAGATACAGAGGAGAGAAGTATATTAATATTCTACCCACATATGAGCTTAATTTTAAATTGGTAGCTATGATGTAAAAGGTAGCTCTGATATGCATCACCAAATTCTTAATAATCCATTTTATGAGTGAAATTAATCTTTTCTATAGCAATAAACCAAAATGGCAAGCTTGTTTTAGTTGGTCAGCTGTGTACTGTGAAGTAAACAGGTTTTGAAATGTTATTTTAATAATCTTTTGTGTTAAAGAAAATCAGTGTTTCTCTAGATCTTATTAAAATAGTGGTGATTGTCTTAAGAGAGGAGTAGCAGTTTTTAATGGTAATCCTTTTCACTAAGTTCTATTTACAATTCGCGTTCAACTGTCTAGCACAAAAATTCCACTAACATCCTGGACCAATGGTGCTTACTTTTTTTTCAGGTGGTGTGACAAGGATGACTGTCTCCCTGGTGGTTATCGTTTTTGAGCTTACTGGAGGCTTGGAATACATTGTTCCCCTTATGGCTGCAGTTATGACCAGTAAATGGGTTGGCGATGCTTTTGGTAGGGAAGGCATTTATGAAGCTCACATCCGGTTAAATGGATACCCTTTCTTGGATGCAAAAGAAGAATTCACTCATACCACCCTGGCTGCTGATGTCATGAGACCTCGAAGGAACGATCCTCCTTTAGCCGTCCTGACACAGGACAATATGACAGTGGATGATATAGAAAACATGATTAATGAAACCAGCTACAATGGCTTTCCTGTCATAATGTCAAAAGAATCTCAAAGATTGGTGGGATTTGCCCTCAGAAGAGACCTGACAATTGCAATAGGTACCCTTTTTAAAAAATACACACACACACATAAATCTATCTATATCTGTATCTGTTGGAATCTATATATATTTAGATAGATACAGACATATAATAGATTTCTTGAGGAAAGGAAAGCAATAATTGGTTGGGTTTGTGGGGGCGAGAGGTGTATTTTATTTATGTCCCTGAAAGTCTTAAGTTCTTTAGGGAAGGCATTAGGCATCTGTGAATTATTTCCCCACTAAGTACAGTTTTTTTTTTTTGAGAAATCTTTTTATTTATTTTTAAAGATTTTATTTATTTGCGATACAGTGTGCGAGAGAGCACGGGGTGGGGAGGGTTCAGAGGGAGAGGGAGAAGCAGGCTCCCTGCTGAGCAGGAAGCCCAATGTGGCACTCGATCCCAGCACCCTGGAATCATGACCTGAGCCGAAGGCAGACACTTAACCAACTGAGCCACCCAGGTGTCCCACTAAATACAGTTTTATCTTTTGATTTGGCATTCTTATCAGAGATCAAAGTCAGATTCTTTCTTTTCCCACTAAGATAAGCCTTGTGAAGTTGATATTGTTCATAATAGCATATAAGATAAGGCCTTAGCAAGTCCTAGGTCATCCCACTAAATACATTCTTGTATTTAATATTGGCTTATTTGAATGCAAGTTATTGAAAATCTTGTCTTCGTTGGTCTGTTTCATATCAGATTCACAGGTTTTCCTTTTTCAGCTTTTGGATTTAGGTTTACAATATTAACATATAATATCTACTTTAAAGTGAAAAAAAATCATTGAGAGTTTATTTTGGTCAAATGCTAGGTTGAAAAGTATATAATGTATTTTGAGATGTTATTCCTGCAAGTATAGATTAAAGGCATTAGCCATATTATATTATTTCTTGGAAATAAATTAAACTTTTTATGAGGAGGAAACAATTGTGTTCCTCCAAAATTTATTTTTCTCCTTATCTTATAGTCCTGAAGTACTGATGAGGAGGCTAGTAAGGCCTTTCCTATGCAATCTGGTTCCTTTTCCTCTCCACCAACTCCCAAAGGTGATAAAGGCTATTTTCATCAAGCTGTTGCTTTCATACTCCCAAGTTTTTAGTGGAGCACCATTAGCTGAAATTGTTAAGCATTTGGTCCTGTGAGCCCATCCTCTACAACTTATCTCTGTGGCCATTGCAAAAGGATTGTAAAATATTTTAATTCTTGTGCCATTTGAAGAGGGAAGACTTAGGGGAGTGTTTCTCAAATCAGAATGGAAATGCTCAGTTTATAAGAGCTATCAAAACAAAACAGAAGTGTCTACAGAGAATATCCTATTTAGTTAAGGAAAAGGCTACAGCTTTGGAAGAGTTTTTTAAAGACTAGCAATCCTATCATTCCAGGATTTGCTATAGGTAATAGAATAGTTGCCGAGAATGGGCAATGTATGTTGCTCTTGTGTTTAAGTGTTTCAGCTTCTGAGCTAATCCCATGGCCAAACCTATAGTAGGAGAAGAATTTCATTGTTTAGATTCCTGTTCTTTAGGTTTTAATGGTAGCCAGCCAAAGAAAAGAAAAATGTCAGAATTTTAGAATTTACATAGGAATTTAAAGGAAAAAAGCAATGTTTTTAAAAGATGAATAAAGTGGTAAAAGTTAAGAATTATTCATAATCCCACTGATTCTGTGGATATATTTTTCAGAGTTTTTTTTAAAAAGATTTTATTTATTTATTTGACAGAGAGAGAGACAGCGGGAGAGGGAACACAAGCAGGGGGAGTGGGAGAGGGAGAAGCAGGCTTCCTGCTGAGCAGGGAGCCTAATGTGGGACTTGATTCCAGGACCCTGGGATCATGACCTGAGCTGAAGGCAGCTGCTTAACAACTGAGCCACCCAGGTGCCCCTATTTTTCAGTTTTATTACTATCTTGAAACAGAATATTGTGATAGCAGATGATGTCAGTTTAAGGGAATAGGTATACTTTAGATATGTGAAATATCCAGTCATGTCATCAGAAATGTTTCACATGGTGACTTTCAGAACACACCTTAAATATTTACCTACATATATTTTTATAAAGTACATTTTTTAATGAGAAAAATAGATCTGTACATGAGGTTTTGTATATTTGTATAACAAATACTTTATGAAAGACAAAAAAAAAATGCTTGAATAACTGGTAAACTATATACCATATCCAAGGATGGGAAAACTCAAGATTTTAAAAGCATGGATTTCCCATAATTTATAAACTCTGCATTTGTATGTCATTTCATTATTTAAAAATTTTAGTTTACTTATAGATGATACATTCACATAGTTCAAATCAAGAAGATTAAAAGTATACAGTGAAAAATGTCTCTCACCATGACCTCATAGTTACCAGTTTAACTCTCTGTAGGCACCCATCTCTTTGGTTTCTTACGTATTCTGTAGATACTATTCTATACTTATATAAGTAAGTATATATGTTTTTTCTTTTTAAACAAATGGTATCATGCTCTCCAATATGTGTTCCGTACTTTGTTGTTGTTTTTTTTCACTAAACAGTGTTTTCTTGGACATCTTCCCAGTGAATTTCTTCATTCTGTTCTTTTAAAGCTGCACAGTATTCCATTAAGTAGACATACCATGGGATACCTAATGATTTCTAAAATCAATTCCTCATTGATGAACATTTAAGATGTTTCCAGTTTTCTGCTGTTACAGACATTGCTCCCTCATATATTTGATGATTTCACATATTCAACATTCTGCCTGTGTGCAAATGTACAAAAATTACTGGAAGTGGAATTTTTGGATCAGAGAGGAGGTGCATTTGTAATGTTCTAAGATATTTTCACATCACACCAGGGAGTGATTATACCCTGTACTCCCACCAGCAGTGAATGACAGTTTACTGTGTTAAAGTTGAATCCAAAAGGAGAGACATTTCTTCCTGCATTTTTATGTCAAGATTAAAAGTGAGGCTGAATGTTTTATAGATTTGTTTAAAATGAAGCATATTTAACATTTATAGTGTGAATTGAAAAATTTGTCTTTCCTATTTTCCGACTTGAGGTATAAAAGTAACACTAGTTCATTTCTATTTATGTAATAGCTGTAAGTTTTACAGGGAGACTCGTGGTATATGAAAACCTAAATATCATTGACATATTGAACACAATAGTAAGTACATGGCACAGTGACAGGCTGCTCCCCTAATTATACTTTTCTCCTATCCCCTCAAGATCTTTTGTTCAGAATAAAGCTTTAGTTTGCATACCTAGGAGAGCTAATTTGTTAAAGATTTCCCCTTCCATAGCAATATTTAGAAACCTTAAAATAGAGTTTACTCAATAATACGCATTGCAAGTAAATGGGCTGGTCTTTTGTTTATCTCTTTGTAGTAGTTAAAATAAACTTTATACCTGCTTGGTTAGTTGAAATACCATTTTGTGGATTTAGAGACTTTTTTGCTTTCTAAGATTAATACAAATGATGAAAGAGTTCTATATCCCTGGGGAATGTTTTTGCAGCCTGTCACTACCAGGTTTCACATAGTCAAAAATGAAAGGGACAGCCTCTGTACCTTTCTTTTTTGATACGTTGTGAGAAGTCAAGCCCTTGAAAGTCTATTAACATAAACAGGAAAAATATAAAACATAGAATTTAGTGGGAGAAAGGTGATTATTTATGTTGGGACATTTTATGTTAGAAAAGAACCATTTCCATTCTCCTGGAAGTGTAACTCTGTTTTGCATGCGTACTTAAAAAAAAAAATGCCTGAATCATATCAGAAAATGAAAACTATGATGATATTTTCTGCTTTAAAAGCCTTTGAATGAATGGCATTAAAAAAATTGTTTTTCAAACAAAGCAAAACAATCCTAGCAGATGCCTCGGCACTTTATAAGTACTCAGTAAATGATGCTTGTTAAAATAGTTATTGTATTCGGGGCGCCTGGGTGGCTCAGTTGGTTAAGCGACTGCCTTCGGCTCAGGTCATGATCCTGGAGTCCCGGGATCGAGTCCCGCATCGGGCTCCCTGCTCGGCAGTGAGTCTGCTTCTCCCTTGGACCCCTCCCCCTTCTCATTCTCTCTATCTCATTCTCTCTCTCAAATAAATAAAATCTTTAAAAAAAAAAAAAAAAAATAGTTATTGTATTCATATAAAGGACAAATTTAAGTCAGGCTGGGTTTCACTAGCCTTGTGCCTTGTATATCGAAGGAACATTACAATAAACAAACAGGTTAGTAACTTTTTCTAAAATTTTCTGAAACTTCTATCATTAAATATTTAAACAATCTCAGCACATTTTCATTGATGGTATAATAATTTGTTACTTTAAGGTATTTAAGGTTGATGAGTGGGGTTTTAACTCAGAATATCTGTCATGCTAACAGTATTTACACTCCACCATTCATAGATCATTAGCCAGATGCTTCTTTGAGTTAAGAGAATTTAAGGAACATCTTTCAAGAATCGTTTATGTCACTTGCTAATGGGCTTTCTTCTTTTCTATGCTTTTATCATGCTTTTAAAGTGGTTTAGTAAGTACTAGTCATTAGAATTTCACTTAGTGCCTTCCTACCTGAATGTGTTCCAGTACAGTTAAATAAGGCTTTAGAGGTCAGAAGGAGCAAACAGAATTGCAGTGTTTGTTTATGAGCTATATATGTTTATCTGCTTCTCAGTCTGGGACTGATGCTTATTATTTTGGCTTAAATATTTTTGTAGCAAAATTCATGTTTAAAATATGTCCAATATGGCAAAAACATAGTTGTGAACACAGTTTTGAATACATACTAACTCAGAATACAAACATAAAGCTATTGTATTCTCTCCATTTCATAGGTTTCCTTTCTCCTCCTGTGGTCTCTGTTCTGCAGTTTTTTGCATCTTTACTGCTTCTTGTCTAGCACTGTCAAAGGTCGGAGTGGAGCTTGGCAGCAAACAGAAGCACTTGAAGCAGAGCACACTGGAGAGGGGAAATTAGCAGAGCCTTTACAAACAAAACCTGAAAAATAAGTCTGTGTCCATTATGTGCATAGTTGTAGTTTCAACCCACCTATTAATGCTCATGACGCACCCAGAAGATTAAACTTTAGCTTTAGAAAAGAGAAAGAACTAAGTAATTCACAGGGGTGGAGTATATACAAGATAGTCAATATAGGAGTGAAACTCTTTAGTCCCACCTCTGAAGGATAAGTGACATTTAGCATGGGCAGCTATCCTTTGATGATGGATTCCTGTAACAAACCATGCTCTAATTTGTGCAGGTTTTAAAAAACCATATTTCACGCATGCTTCCTTGTCCCCTGGAGTTAGAAAACAGCTTTAGCCCCAGTAAAGAAAATTGATAGACCACAAATATTTTATTTACATGAAGATGATTTGTTACTGGTAAAGTCTAATTCTGTCAAATATAAGAAATTACTAAATTTTCAGTTGATTCCTCTCTTGGGTAAGAAGGTAGGAAAAAATGAAGGGACCAAAATTCATGGGATATATTTGGTTATTTTTTTAAAATCTCCAAATAAACAGATTCCCCTTAACACAGATTAATTTTGGGTCTTCTCTCTCTCTTTTCAGAAAGTGCCAGAAAAAAACAAGAAGGTATTGTGGGCAGTTCTCGTGTGTGTTTTGCACAGCACACCCCATCTCTTCCAGCGGAAAGCCCTCGGCCACTGAAGCTTCGGAGCATCCTTGACATGAGCCCTTTTACCGTGACCGATCACACCCCGATGGAAATCGTGGTGGATATTTTCCGAAAGCTGGGTCTGAGGCAGTGCCTTGTAACTCACAATGGGTAAGTCTAGTGAAAGAAATCAGTTCGCGTCACAGAATTTATGACACTTTTTAGTGGAATTCATATTCACTTCTTAGGGAGAGTGTAAGTCAGCTTCCAAGTGGAAAAGTCTGTCTTTTTAGTGTGGTTATAAATATAGGATCCATATTGATCAGATTGGCACTTACCAAGAATAAAAAAAAAAAAAAATGTCAACTGGCAGATCTTTGCCAAAACATAAAGTAGCATTTGTCAGGAACACTTCAGAGTTGGCAAAGAGGAGTAGTGGACCTAACCTGAATGGAGTGGAGAAAAAAACCTGTTTTCTTTTTAGTAAGTATTTCATTCTTTGAATATAACTTTCTAGTTCAGTAATAACTATGTAATTATTTTGCTGTTTACTATTTCAGCCATTACTTTACTTACCGTGTAATGAGAGAAATAATGCATAATTAAATGAAATTTGTAAATTAGCTAAAATCCTCCTTTAGCAAATGCTTTTTGTTTCCTCTTTTCTACCTTTTCCACCTACAAAGCTTTCATATAAACTGCTAATGACAAAAACTCATGTGTTTAAAATGTATAAATTGGTTAACTTATTTTTCGGCCCTTCACACACGAACTACCAGTGTTTCTCCAGGACAGGACCGTAGAAGAGTTTTGTTTGGGGGTGTTGTAGGGACAGAGTGGAGATGTGATGCACAGTCGGCCTCAGCAGACGTCCCGCCCGTCCCTGCACTGGGGGTCTGTTTCCCCACCCACTCTCTCCAGTCCCCTTTATGTCCATTATACTACTCTTCCTAGTTGAAATACTTAAGAACATTGTTTTAATCTGAAGGCTGAGGACAGAAAGGGCTGGAAATGAGAAACAAAGGGTTTTCTTGATTGTGCATAAATTAAATGTCTTAACCCTGCCCTGCGTGAAGCTGGTTGAAATGCTAAACACTTAGAGAATCACAGCGGGTTTTCTTTTTAAAAAAGCATTTTGTTCAAGACATGTGAGTGACAAAACACATGACCCCTGTCTAAAGAAAGGAGGGAAAAAGAAAAAAAAAAAGGGAAGGAAAGTTGTTTCTTGAGCACCTTCTTCAGGTTTCTCACTTAACTTTGTAGTACCTCTGCAGAGTGGGTGGTAGATTCCTACTTGACAGGTGTAATAATTGAAGCTCAGAGGGATTTAATAATATGCCTAGTCCTGTGGTTACTAAGTTGTCGATCTGGGAACAAATACCTTTCCAGTTTTAGAGCCCAGTCTCTTGCTACTGTTTTTACACTGTTATTGACTAATAGAATGTATCTTCTTTCTTTGTGATTTCTTAAACTGCTACCATTTTCTTGAACAATATAGTGTGCCATATTGGGTTAAGAATAGAAATATAGAGTTAGAGAATTAGATCCATATTTAGTGTTTTCACTGTGCTAACCAATTAAATCTAAGTAATGTGAAATAAATTATTAAAGGTGTAAAATTCTTGATGAAAGGAAGTTTGGAATTATTAAGTATTGCAGATACAAACTGGAGAAGAGATACATGTAATAAAATAACTATTTTCTTTTAATGTTTAATTAAAAAATAATAGTTACCAAACTTCATTGTTTGAAAACTTAAGAAGTACATGTTAAATGGAATAACTTTTTATGAAGTTATATGGGTTTTAAGGCCCTTTTAATTTTAAATGGCTCAATTAGAAGCTAAGCTGAGTAGTTATAATTTTTACTTGCTTTGAGTTATTCTCTGTGCCTGGCATGTTTGTCCTTTCATGTGCTAACAAATATAAATGTCCCTCTCTAGTTATGATTACCTATGATCACAAAGCTGTATGGGTCAATTACCATATTTCACTTTGCTGATTAATTCCCAGATTTTTGGCAGCACAGTTATTAGAAAGGAAAATATTTAAAAGAAAGTGTAAAAATAACAAAATGTAGGGGAGGGGGAGGATAGCTAATTCAAATCTTACCTCATACTGCCCATTTATAAGAAAGCTTGTGGTGCGGGGTAGCTTTTTCTAAAGAAATATGTTTAATTGCCTTGATTATTAAATTTTTCTTATTTCTGTCCTTCAAGGAAAATAAATTGATATATATAGAAAGAAAAGAGATCACTTGGGGTGATAGGTCTTGGGTCTTTATTTTCTTGGAAGTATGTAAGGAAGTAGAGTGTTTTTATTCTCACTTGAAGTTAAATGACTTAAAGTTAGGAAAAAAGCCATATCTACTAGTTTTTAGTGGAGAGTGTGAAGTTCTGGATGACTGTCAGCAACTTCTAGCTCGTAGTGGGTCCTTAGAAGTGGAAAATAACTCTTTGGGGGAAGAGATACAGCAAGTCCAACTGTTAGGTACAAGGAGAAAATGAGAATAGGGAGATGAGGGAGAAGTGTGTGTGTAAATTTGAAAGATGTCAGTTGTAGATTTCCCATGTTTTATATTTGAATTAGAATTTCTCAAAATCCTTTTAGTCTTTTTTTTTTTTTTTTAAGATTTTACTTATTAATTTGTCAGAGAGAGAGAGGACGTGGGTGCGCACAAGCAGAGGGGGTAGCAGGCAGAGGGGGAAGCAGGCTCCCTGCTGAACAGGGAGCCCGATGTGGGACTCGATCCCAGAACCCTGAGATCATGACCTGAGCCGAAGGCAGACGCTTAACCGACTGAGCCACTCAGGCATCCCAAAATCTTCTTAGTCTTGGTGGATCTAGCAGGATGTTAATAGGCATCGCTCAAAAAGAGTTTTGTGACCATGTAAGTTTGGAAAGTATTGGATTAAATACAATTGAGGTGTCTCTATTGTGGAATGTCCCAAAGTTTATAAAATGTTGGTATTATTTGAGTCCCAGGGACAGCAGAAAACAGTTTTCCAAACTTGTTTGAACATGCAGCCTTTTATTTTGTTTTATTTTATTTTCTTTTTTTATTTTATTGATTGATTGAGGGAAGAGGGCAGAAGAACTCCTGGGACTGTTGTTTTTTGGAACATATTTTGGGAAAACGTTGGGTCATGCTCTGTTAACTCTTACATCATTGTTTGTTAGCCCCACAAGGAAACAGCAAATTATTTTTTATATAAGTTTTATTTTGCATTGATTTTCTTTGCACTTCCTGAAATTAAGTAGCACTGAACCTGGCCTTATTATTCTCAAATCACTTTTCTCCATTGGAGAGAAAATATATTTATTTCCTCCTTTTTAGAACCATTACTTTGTAATATAGAGATTACTTTATAAATCTCCAAATTTGCCATTTGGTCCTTAATCAATTTGTAACTCTCCTCATTTTGTACCTTGTGATTTGGCAGAGCTTACTAAAATACTAACTGAAAGTAATCATTGTATATAATTGGAAAGAAAAGAATAAGAATTAAACTGGAATTATTTAATTGTCAAGGTTTTTTCACATTTCCTGACTCCAACTATAAATTAAAGTGAATTGATGGTTTTTGTTTTTTCCCTCACACACTTAGTGCTTATTTTATGTATGCATTTTTTATTTCATGAGTGCATTTTCTGAGCCTTTTTGGAGGGAGAACTTGTTTGTATCCTCTAACAACTTTTCAATTTATCTTTGTTCTTAAGGATCAGTACATTATTTTAAATACTGAGAATGCATTAGAAGAGAACCTATTTCTGCCTTTCCCCAATGTCTGCCCTCCCTGCTCTCCCACCCCCACACCCAGGCATCATCATTAATAACTGTTTTATAACTGACATATCTGTAGGCCTTGACTACTTTAAGTGAAGTCCCCTAGTGACATTCTTTAAGAAGTCAGAATGTTCAAAGGCAGTTGAATAGTAAAGTTGACTTAACTAGATCACCAGGGAAATGTCCAATACCTTGAAGGGCATTCTGGATGGGCTTCCAGAATTTGAAGATTAAGGCTTTTTAAGGTCTTTGAATTCATTATTTTGTTGCCATACATTGTAGTTGAATTCTTCCATTATAAAACCGGTAACCAGGATTTTGTTCTTAATAAATCTAATTATTTTCAAGTATCCTTGTGAGAATTTATATCCCTCATTTTGCTTGATATTATAATAGTGATAGATTAACTGAAAAATAATCATTTAGAAAAAAACATGCATAATGTAAAAGTCATTTTGACCTCTAATTATAAATACATCTTACTAGCTTATTTTAAGAAGTAGCTTTCAGCAGGTCCTGAAAATTAGGGTGTGTGTGTATTGGTTGGCATTATTTATTTAAGTGCACATTGCCTTTCATTTTAATCCCAAGTAGTAGTAAAACCCGCAGGATTTCTTAAGTCTCCTCATAGGCAATTGAGGCTAAGCCTTCTTTCTACCTTTTCATTGCTGAGGTAGATCCAAATAATAGTGGCTGCATTGTGACATTTTAGAAGTTAGAAAAATACTTTCCCCTAATGAAGGAACACTGAAAATGAAACTAAATTTTAGAGGTTTATAGCTGTGTATTAATATTGTTTCTTTTGTACTTTTCTTTATAGTCATTTTCATTGTGAACTTTTATAATTTTGATTTTTAATTTAAAAAGGAAAACAACTCACCGATGTTTAAAAATAGTATCATGTCTCTTATGAAAGTCAGTAGAAGTTATGCAAATGGGGCCTGGGATTTCAAATCATTTTTGTTTTTATTTTTCTAAAGTTCATTAAAAGCATTCTTATGGTTCATGTTTTTTATTTTTTTCTCTCCTTTCTTTATCATTATGATTGGAACCTCTTTTAATTTAATTTCTCACACAGTTATTAGCATAACATGATCTGTTTCAGGATTGTCTTGGGGATCATCACAAAGAAGAACATATTAGAGCATCTCGAGCAACTAAAGCAGCACGTCGAACCCCTGGTGATTAGATATATGAGATCTCCTCATTAGACACCTTAGAAGTCAGGAAGCATGAAACTTGTGAACTGTTCAGTTCTGTCTGTCCCAGATATCTGCTGAATAAAAAAAATCCTACATGCTGCCAATTACATTTATATCTAATAAACTATGTAAGATAAGTTTAGATATTTGGAAGATTCCATTCACAGGAAGTTAGCAAAAGTTAATGTCTCTCATCAAAATCATTGGTTGCAATTTAAGAACTATAAACAGATTGATAATTAAATGAGTAAATATTATTGGATGTTCTTAAAGTAAACACAACTGTGTCTACCGTAGTTGATACACCGGTTTCAGAAGGTGCCTGACTGGTGAAAAATGTCTGTCCCCCACCCCCAAAACCCTTTTTCTTTTTTATGTTTCCGAATCTTGTGGTAGTCTTGTGGTAAATCTAAGCTCATAAATGATTTTAACCGAGCTTAGCAGTGTTAGAATTGCTGAATGTTAAACAGATTTTTTTTATGGGCACACTAACTAGAGCGTAATGTTGTATGTATTTGTGATCATAGCATTAGTTCTTTTTCTGCTACACCTTGCATACCTTCACAGTCAAGAATGTGTGTCCTGCCATTTCATTAGTGAACTGTACCTAGATTATGTGTGTGCCCCTTTTGTATGATGTTTCCAGAATGCTGTGAGCAGCTTTTGGGGTCAAATGCATTTGTTTTAACTGGCTTTATGTCCTAGTTGTTTCATAACTAAAGATAAATTTTGAATTATCTTACCTTATAACCTAAAAATTGTCTGACTTTAGCAATTAACGCCTGAAATTATTTTGCCCTGTAATTGTCATACCTATATAAAACCTGTCCCAGTTTGCTTAAGTACACAACTGATTATGTATTCCTGTTGTATGCTAATATTTCACAAGTGTTTCATGCATCCTTTTTTAAAAAACTACTAACCAGAATAATAAGTAGCTACTCATTCATTCTGCTTTCTGCTTCACCTATAATAATCTTCTAGGACTGCTTCTTGATTTTTTCACCGTAAGCATTAACAACCAAGACTTTCATAAAAGCACTGTATCTTAACTTTTTCGGCCAAAATCAAAAGAGGAAAACATTGATGAGTGTACTAGAAACTTGGGTTGTCTTACAGATTTATTCTCGGGCCTCTGAAGTTTGGGATTGGAGTTCTTTGTTGACCATTTTATCTCAATTGTATGTGCTTTCATGAAGATTCTGCATACAACTGGGCAATCCTTAAGTTATTTTTTAAAAGTTGGTTAAGTTTGGTTTTAAAAAAATGGAATATTGAGGAGATTTGATCATCAGACATTTTACTGCTTTCTTGATGTCATGGCAATGAATTTTCCTTCTCAAATGGGATCAGTTATCATTTCTTGTTCACACATCCTCCCATTTTGTTTACTTTTTTGTTGGCATACATGAATCAAAGTACCTCTACTTCAATGAGGCGTGCAGTCCTCAGAGTCTTGGTGGAAAGGACATCATACTATTAGTGACCATGATACTTTCATATCAAAGGATGGTTGCTGGATAATTTAATTATCTTTACCAATAAAATACTTTTTGAAAATACAAAATCACGGTGCTTGCTTTGCTCTATTCCTGTCAACAAAAAGGGTTTAGCTATAGAGTTAGCTTTTCTTTTCTTTTCCCTTTTATTTTAATAGCAATCTTCTCTTTATTCCTTTCAGGCGCCTCCTTGGCATTATAACAAAAAAAGATATCCTCCGTCATATGGCCCAGACGGCAAACCAAGACCCCGCTTCAATAATGTTCAACTGAATCCTCTAGATGAGGAGAGAGAGGAAACAGAAGAGGAAGTTCATTTGTTGAATAGCACAACTCTTTAATCCGAGGGAGTCGTCTACTTTTTTTTCTCCTTTAAAAAAAGAAAGAAAGAAAGAAAGAAAGAAAGAAAGAAAGAGAAAGAAAAAGAAAGAAAGAAATCTAAAAGCCGGGCTTTTGCAACACAGTTTGCAAATACTGCTGGTGGAATGGAGGAGTTGTTTGGGGAGGGAAAGGAGCGAGAAGGAAATGAGTGAGGTATTTCCCCATCTAACTGAGAGCAGCAAATCATCTCCTGTTGTTCTGCACTGGATGCATTCAGCTGAGGGTGTGCCGCGGTAGTGCAGGCGGGAGCATCAGCGGAGAGGGCGCCACGGCCATGGAGCCCTCGGACCAGCTGGAGCACCTGGCCTGTTTCTCCAACATCGCAGCATTAGCAGTCCCTGTTTCTGGAGGGATTACTTTGAATTGAGCCATCTATAAGACAGCAAGGTCTTGCCCTTTTGTATCAAAACTGTTCTGTTTAATTCACGAATTATATAGTTAAGCATTATCTTTCTACATTCCAGAAGAGCTTTTCTTTCTTTCTGCCTCCCTCTCTCTCTCTTTTTCTTTCTCTCTTGAGCTGTGGCAAAGCCGCTTTAAACTGGTGTACCCTTATGAAACAGTCCTTTCTCATATTGAGATGTACTGTGATTTTACCGAAGTTTCATCACAAGAAGGGAGTGTTTCTTGTGCCATTAGCCATGCAGTTGGTACCATCACTAAATGCTTGGAGCGGTCACATGCACCACAACAAAGGCCAATCAAATGGGTAAAATCTCGAAGGAAGCAAGGAAGCGTGAATGAAATCTCTCAGCTTGTGTGCATTGTGGTTCAGAATCAACAACAATGAACCTTGACTTGTAAGGATAAACAGTTTTCTTTTTGTTTTTTTTCCTCTCAAACTTTATGGATAATGTGACCTGGTCTTATGCAAATTTTCTATTCTATTCTAAAACTACTATAATATACAAGTACTGTTCAGCATAAGGAAACAAAATGCTGCTGCTTTGACAGTAAAGAGAAGGAAGTATTCTGTTTAGCTATATCTGGTATTAATTGCATGTTTAAACACTGGAATTTTTTTTCTTGAAATTAGATCAGTCATTTTTTTTTTCTTTCCTCAAGATATTTTATTGCTGACACTGAAGAAGAAATGTAACTCATAACTTGCACTAAATGTATATTTCTTTTCTTAAAAATTTACCATTCTTATTTATATTTTTATGGATTAAAATTTATAAAATACAGATCAGTTAATATCGTGCTTAAATAATTTTACCTTTTTAATGTGATTTTTATAGACTAATTCAGACTTAACAAATATGGAGATATGAACAAAGTTTACACTGGGAACAAGGGTTTAAAAAGAGGTTGTGGTTATTTGTCTGTGATCCAATTGTGTACATAAACCTTTTTCTGATCTTTCACTGCCATCCTCTGGATTATGTCTTCTGACCTGTACATTTTGACTCATTAACTAGAAAGTTAAATCATGACAAATCACTTTGCAGATTAAAACCAAAAGTCAAATAGTGTTAACCTTTTTTTTTAAAAAAAAAAATCAAACAAATGAAAACAATTGCAAAGGTAGCAGTTAAAATTTTAATCTGAACCTAACCTTTGAATCTTTTGGTACATCACATCCATAAGTGTTCAGTTAATGTTTTGAATATCCACAGTGCACATTTTTGCAGGATGAGTTGAAAATGTACTGGGGTGTGTTTGGAATTTTTGTTTTTGGAAATGTCTGTCTTAATCATGGTCTTAATTCACTATTAGCAAAGGCAGTTTACTTGTAGGACTGGCCTATATAATCTGGGCTTATGCATTTTTGGTAGGAAATGAATTTTGCAGACAGACATTTTCTGAAACATAACTGGCAATGAGCCGTTTTTACATTTTAGAAGTGATTCTTCACTTCCTAGTTCTTAAAAATAATATATCCATAAGATCTTGAAGCTTTTATTAGATCATGAAGCCATATTAGAATGACAATTAGAAGTTGCACATTTTAGGAATTTCATGAAACATTTCTCCATTTTGCTATCTGCCTAAAATTGGTATTTTGTCCTAGTTTACTTGCTCCCTTTGGCAGACTTCAAGCTTTCTTAATAACCCCTTCAAAGCTCATTTGGCCTTCCAGAGTGAAATCTTTTCTAAATTATACTTCTATATATCTTATCATCATCTTGTCCTGAGTGTATCTGCAGTGTGAACTCCTCAGCATTGGCTACCGAATAGCTTGTTTGTCTTGAGTTACAAGTCTTCAAAGGAGAAACCAGCTTCTTTGCAGATAGCTTCGTAACATTAAACATCACATGGATTTTATTTTCCATGTTTCCTTTTTGATTTCACATCCTCCTTTCATTGCTCATCCTGCCTCACAGACTGACATTTCAGGGTGGATATTCAAGGTGGATATTAATTTTCTTCCTGGTATATTTCTATCCCTTGATGTGTCTTACTGCTAAAATACAGGAAAAGTATTGTATTTCTAATGCATTCACTGGTTTTCTTCAGTAATACTACCTGTTCCACTTTTCTTTTTGATATGTTGAGGTGTGTCTGCTTTTCAACCAAATGATGAAATAGTGGAGACCATGAAATATATGTGCCTGGCTAATTGGCAAATTAATTGACCAATATAATAAGTGGAGCGCCTTATTGGAGTACCCTTTTTGAGAAGGTATGATGAGAATGGGCAAGGGTGTCAGCATCTCTTATTAATAATTGTTTTCAGTTTTGGTTCATGAAGAATGCTTAGTTTGTTAATCTGTGATGTTGCCTAGAGCTGTATTTATCTGTTTTTATTTATACTAGTGTAGTAAAGCTGCGTATCATTACAGTAAAAATGATTACTGTGATGAGTTAATCAGAAAATCTATTAAAATCTATATGACAATGTGTGGTTTGGCCTTTAATTATATCTGTGAGAGTCCTCCCACTTCTGCTGCTGCTCTATGCAGTGTAGGCCAATATGCCTGGCACATGCAGCCTCAAAGGGGTGACAAATACAATGTTTCTCTCAGGTTACAAAGCCATTTCTATACTTTGCAGGCGAGGGGCCACAAAGGAATAGATGCTGGATTGAACAGCAGGATATAAATACTACCAGCAGTAGTAGAGAGTCTCCATTTGTCAGTGCAACTTGCAGGTTTACAGAAAGATTTCACTTCAGTTTACTTTTTTTTTGTTACAGATTTTATTTATTTATTTGACAGAGACACAGAGAGAGAGGGAACACAAGCAGGGAGAGTGGGAGAGGGAGAAGCAGGCTTCCCGCTGAGCAGGGAGCCCGCTGTGGGGCTCTATCCCGGGAGCCTGAGATAATGACCTGAGCCGAAGGCAGATGCTTAACGACTGAGCCACCCAGGCGCCCCCACTTCAGTTTACTTTCAAAAAGAAAAATTATGCTGTTGGCATGAAGATAAAACATGTAAATGATTTACTTTTTTTTTTTTTAAGATTGATTTATTTACCTTAGCGGGAGGGACAGGGGGAGAGGGAGAGAGAATCTCAGGCAGACTCTGCACTGAGCGTGGAGTCTAATCTGGGGCTGTATCTCAGGACCCTGAGATCATGACCTGAGCTGAAACCAAGAGTCAGATGGTTAACCGACTTGAGCCCACAAAGGAGCCCCTACATGTTTTTTTTTTAATACTACTTTGTACATTTGCTAATAGAACTGCCTAAAAGAAGGTGGTAACATTTGAATTGTTAAAAGATTTCAGTAGTCTAATATTAAACTCTTAGTATAAAAGTAAGACACTTGACTAAAAAGTCTGGAATAGATTTTTTTTTATCATTCATTTCATTTGATCATTCACTGAGTTTTTATTGAATACTTACCGTGTGATAGGCACTGTGCTGTGTTCCTGAAGCTTACATTCCAGTAGAGACAGAGGCATATATGGTATGTCAGATGGTGATACATATCACAAGTTACTTAGTTCAGCAGATTTTTTTTTTATTCCTGTGTGCCGCCATGTTACAGGCATACATAAATCAGGCAAAAATTCCCAAAAAAATCAGTAATGGGGAGGATGCTATTTTTTATAGAGGGTGATGAAAAAGGGCCTCAGGGATAAGGTGACATTTGAGCAGAATCCTAAAAAAAGTAAGGGAATGATCCCGTTATCTGTGAGAAGAATGTTCTAAGAAGAGGAAATAGTGTATGCAAACATCCTGAGGAGGGATACACCGGACAGGTACAAGGAATACCAAATAGGTCACTGTGGCTGGAGTGGGGAGTAGGGTGTAAGAGGAGGAGAGAAGTTAGGGATATAGTCGTTTGACTTTTATTCTGAATAAAATGGGAAGCGAGTGTGGCAGAAAAGTGACATGATCTGACTTAACATGATCTCTGGCTGCTTTGTTGGGATAGACTATACTGGGGAAGGGCTGGAAGGAGGGAGACCAATTAGAAGGTTCTTGGAATAATCAAGGTAGGATATGATAGAGGCTTGAACCTGCCTGGGGCTGGTGGAGGTCGTTCAAATGCTGGATTCTAGACATTTTGGAGGTGGCAGAGGCAGGATTTGCTAATGGATCGAATGTGGAGTGATACAAGTGGAGTAAAGGATGTTTCCGATGGCCACTGACTCAACTGGGAATGACTTCACAAGACTAGATTTGAGGTTGTGTACAGAGGAATTTTGGTTTTAAGACATTGTTTTAAATGACTTTTCGACTTCAAAGTGGGGATGTCAAGTAGGCAGTTGTATATACCGAGACTCAAGTTCAGGAGGAGGGTCCAGCCTGAGAGACCTAAAACATTTGGGAGGTATCATCTTGAGACAGCGGACAGAGTGGACTGAGCATTAACGTACATGTATTTTTAGATTTGAGGAGATGAAGCGCCAGCAGAAGGGGGAGCAACCAGTGAGGTAGGGTGAAGATTGGTGCCTTTAAGAGAAAGGTGGTCCCCTAAGGCAAGTGAATAATAGTTTCAAGGAGCATCAACTTTTCAGTTGTTGCTGATCAGTGAAGTAAATGGGGACTAAAAATTGCCCAGTGGGAGATAATGGATAACTTTGACCAAAGCAGGCTCAGATCAGGCAAAAGTCTGATTGGAGTGGGTTTGACAGAGATTGATGAAAGGAATTGAAGGCAGCTTTTTTTTTTTAAGATTTTATATATTTGAGAGAGAGCATGAGCAGGGCTGGGGAAGGGGCGGAGAGATGGAGAAGCATACTTCCTGCTGAGCCAGGGAGGCCCTGTCCCAGAACCCTGGGATCATGACCTAAGCTGAAGGCAGATGCTTAACCAACTGAGCCACCCAGGCGCCCCCAAAAGGCAGCTCTTTCAACTCTTGCTGAGTTTTCTAGGAACTGGATGTGTGAAAGAGTATTTTGTTTTAGGATGCAGGATATTACAGCTTTTGTTGTTGATAGGAATATTGGAGAGGGAAAATTGATTTGAAGAGAGAGAGAGGTCTTTGAGTAGGCAAGAGGGGATGGCCTCTTGGGACATTAAGCAACATTTATAGCAATGTGGAAGAGGCAGAGTATATTGAGTAGTTGGTAGTGTGGGGTGAGATTTTGGGGAAGTTACTTTGTTTTTTCTTAGTGAAATAAACTGAGGGCTGGGAGGTATTGTTGCATGTTTGAGGAAAGATGTGAAAGTAGTAGGATTAATGGGCAGTAGTATGACCAACTTGAGGTTAAAACGAGACCAGTTGTCATGGTTGTTATTTTTTTCCCCAGCTATCTGATACTGAGCAGAAGTAGGAGTAGGCAGCTTTTTATCAGAGTTAAGGTTCTAACATAAGTACAACTAATGGAGAGAGGGGCAGTGGAGTAGATGCAGGAGTGATCATAATGATGGAGAGTGGAATACAAGGGCTGAGTGAAGAGGGAAGCAAGAATACCAAGTGAAGAATAGTGAAAAAGGCTGTTAGATCAGTGAATTGGTGTAGGCTACGGTGGGTTTGAAAACTGGGTGGAGCTGGGGAATAGAGGGAGAGGAAAAGACGGGTGGTGCTGACAAGGTCTAGGGTGTGACTTTGGAGTTGATGGCTAAAGAGGGGGACCATCTAGATCAGGATCAGCAAATTTTCCACCGTGAAGTGCCAGATAGTAAATATTTTAGGTGTTGGGGGCCATAACAGTCCGCTGCAACTACTCTGCCGTTGTAGGCCCATATAATATGCAAATGAATGGGTGTGGCTGTTTCTCCATACAGTTTTTTTTTTAAAGATTTTATTTATTTTCACAGAGAGCGAGAGAGGGAACACAAGTGGAGGAGTGGGAGAGGGAGAAGCAGGCTTCCCGCTGACAAAAAAGAGTGGGCCAGATTTGGCCCTTAGCCCGTTTGTTGACCCCCGGTCTAGATAATAAACTGTGAGGCTTAGGGTATCAGAAGGATCATCTGCATAGATAGCGGGTATCTGTCATTGTGGTGACATAATATGTAGCACTACCTTGGATTAAATTTTAGAGCTTTCATTATTTTTTCCTTGGGTGTATCTTTCCACATGTGTGTTTGAGAGGTCATACCCCGTTACTAAGCTCCAGGAATGAGCTTAGCTAAATTTGAGTAGTGATTTTCTGTTAAGATTCTTACTGAGTTAAGGTACTTCATTTGGGAGTCTAGGCACTTAAGAACGTGTTCTCAGAACAGAAGTAGATAGGCGGCGCTTGGAAGCGACTATAGCCATTGGATGGCCACATCCTAGGTAGATTAAAATACTCAGCAAACTAGGTTTCAGCGGACTGTGCTTCAGTGAAGGAAAGAGAAAGAGAAGTTTGGTATTGTAAGGAGCTTGCTCTTCAATGAAAAATATTCAGTAGTTGGAAGGTGAGTACCTCCTGAAATCAGTTTCCAGCCCTCTGACACAACTTGGAGTTTGGGACTGGAAATCCGTAACTACGGTATCCAGATAATGGCCATATTCTTGGCATTGGTATCCAATTCAGTCTTTGCCGTTACACAACACCTAGCTTTCTGAAAATACACATTCATGTTAGGTTTGTGTAAGCAAAGGATGAAAAGCTGATCTTTTTTTTTTGTCCCCCTTCATTTTAATTTGTTCCTTGATAAGAAATCCTGTTAGAATCTGTATTACTGATCACAAGAAGGTATATTTTTAAAAAAACTACAAACTATATTTGAAACTGTTGGATCAAGGAATGGCAGAATTTATTAAATGGCTAATATTTCTAGCTAAGAAGATTGGTTTAATGTAAGATAGTTGAATTTATTTGAATAATCAGTATTTAAAACACAATATGTTAACTATTTCTGAATACTGCCCCCAATATTAGGTACCTTAGAAACTAAGGAAATCTGAGGAAAAAGATTTAGGAGCTTCTAAAATGTTCAATTATTTAAGATCCAATGTGATTTGGTCACCTTTTCTAATCAAAGTATGTGTGAGTTAATGTTCCTATCATCTTACAGCTTAGTTCAGTTGGGGCCAGGACCTGCAGATGCTTACACACTGAAATGTGGCAGTTCCTTAAAACCTCCTGAGACCTCCCCATCAGAATTATGAAAGTTCCAGTAATGAAAGGAAAGGTAAAAGGATGTTTTCAGTTTAGTTTGGCTAAGCTATTATATAAAACGTCTCTCTTGAAGAAAGCATCTTAATGACCTACAAAGGCAGCCTGGGTCAGGGAATGAGAACAGATACTAGGCATAGGCTGTAATAGCAGAGGGGATTTTTGACTTCAGAAGACATTCTGTTGTTTGAGAAGTCAAGAATTCTTACCTTAAGGGCATCTCAAAATAGTTTCCCACATCTTGCTAGTGTGATTTTATCAGGCACTTAGTGAGCAGCATGGAATAGGGTCATTTTGTTCAACAAATAAATACATATTCAAAGGTTTGTGTTACTGAGGGGGCTACATACTGATAAAATACATGTTCTTAAAAAACCTGCAGCTTAACTGGGGAGATGAGACAAGCTGCTTGTATTAAAAATCCTGGCTGGAAGTGTTTGCAAAATAGTCTACTCATACTTTATATCAAGAAGAGTAAGTATCTCAAACTATTTTAAGACAGCTGACAGGTTAAGTGACTCTGGAGACTGACAATTCAACAAAAGTTCTTTGGGTAAGTCAATCTTCTGCAAAACGTGGGGGTTATAAGATGACCTAAGGGCTTTTTTACTTTGAACTTCATACAAAGGGGAAAAGGCTTATATGCTCTTCAGCCCAATCTGCAGAGTTGGCTATTTTACATTTCATGGTTTGCGCTCTGTTTTTAAGGTGAAGGACATTTTTTCAGGCTTGAGGATGTGAATCTGGTTTGCAGTAGTAAACTTTAAATAGTATATTGATTAGTATACTATACTGTATATCAATATTCTATGCTATATTGATTAGTAAATACAGTGAGTCAAAGAATTGTTTTAAAGAATATACCTAATAGGTACCTGGACTACATATGTATCACCTGGAGATATTGTTAAAAAGTAACTTTGGTACCTCTGGGGTCAGGCACCTCCCAAGTTTACCACCGCCCATAAATCCAGTCCTTAGAGCTATAGCTATTATTAACTCAAGTCTGAGGAAATAAATTTTTAGTTGTCCGTATGTTCAGTATTGAAACAGGGCTCCCTGACGAGAGGACAGTCTAGTTATCCACGGGCAGTCAACTGTGACTTCCTGTGACATGTCCGAGGACTTTGGTTGTCTTGACTTGTCTTGGTTGATAAATGACTGCCATTTATCTGCACACGAAAGAAAAGGGCTAGAAGAACTTTATAAAAGTTTTTAGTAAATATTTCCATCAATTTATTTTCTCTATTCCTTAAAAACAAATCTCAAGTTTAATACTAATGCTTTAAAATATTATACACCGAAAGAAAGCCAACTGTTATTCATGCTGCAAGTTGGTCTATGTTGTCTTTACTTCTGTTTGCCAAATGATCTTCAATAATTTCTGCAAAGAGATTCCTCTTCAACAGATTATATGCAAGAGGTAAAAGCTGGCCAGCAACTTTATGAAAGTACTGAAAAATAAAAGAATATAACATTAAGCAGAGAATATAGCAGATGCCCTAGTAAGTAGCAAAAAACACACTGAAAAAGCTCTTGTTTAACAAAGCATACTCTCCAAATCATTTTAGCTACTTTCTCAATTGGTTAGGAACAGTGAACTCACACAGGCATTTAGCATTCTGTTCAAGAGGCAATCTTATAGTTCTAAAAGACTAACAGTACATCTTGAAGAAATTCAGAAGAAAACTGAGTTAAAATTTTAAGCTTCCTTATTCCCTTAGGTAAGGATCATCATCCTTTTTACTTGCCCCAAACTATACGCTCAAATGTTCTTTCCTTCTCTAGTGTATCCCTACCAGTTAAGATTTTAATCATTATTTTCCTTAGTTGATACTATACGAAATGGTACGCTGAATTTGAGTTTTCAAATCACATTTATTCCCCTTTATCTTCAAATTCTCTCTCCCCGACCCCACCATGTAACCCTGCTCCATCCCTTAAGTCACTGCCTTGGGTTTATCCAGTAACTTAGACTACTGCTATTATATATATACTCGAGAACCTGGCAATGCTTCCGTTGATGGCAGTTAGCACTTACCAGATGCTCAGTAACTGTGCTAAACCTTTTCATATGTTGTTTAGTACCCACACCAATCATTTTCAATTAAGTTGATAAACATTTTTTTGGCAGGCCCAGCATTATTCTGATTGGTCAATGACTTATTCTGGCTGTTAAACATTTGTGATTATTTTTACTAATAACCATATATAAGGTAGGCAAAGAAACACAGTGATAGGGTTTGGAGCAGAGTTCTCAAAACAGACGCCCTGACCAGTGGCATCAGCCTGACCTGTGATGGGTCTAAGACTCACCCAAGAACTTGATCAAAACTTGGAGGGTGGGGGGCATAGGGGTAAGTACACCAATCTGTGTTTGAACAGCCCTCCACATCGTGGTGATACCTGCTGAGGTGAGAGCGCCGCTGGTTTAGTCTTGCCGCTCACACTAGTCTACAGAGCAGCAGTGCTACCAGTACCCAGGAGCAGGTCAAATGCAGACTCAGGCCTCACCCCAGATGTACTCAAACAGTCCTACGAAAGGTATGTGTACATACCCATACACATATCTAACAGCATATAGCCCTAGAATACGTCTAATAAGGAAACTCACTTTAACGTAAACCTGAAGGCAAATAACCTTGGTAATTCACCTTTGGCAGAATACAAGATGAATTTCAAATAAATATTTTCAGACACCCGCTTATCAAAAAGTTCATTTTGGGAAAAAAAATTTCATTTTGACACATAAGCTGAATTTATATCCTACCCACGCTAGTGGGGACATAAACATGCATGCTCTAGTATGCCTGTAAGTGGAGTGTGGTGGGGAAGAGAAGGGTTTGGTGACTGTTGGGAGGTAGGTTTTTTTTTTTCACTCACGTGTGAGCCGTAACAAAAGAGATCCATTCCCAGCTCAAGCCCCATACCATAGTCACATTCATCGTTTGCAAACTGCACAAAGGTCATCATTTCCTGAATGGGAGCAAAAGCTTTTAGTCTGTCCTCATCACTTGGTGCCTCAACAATTGTCTTGCAAATTCTCTTGAGATTGGCTGTAAGGAACCAAGGATATAAAAAGATGATCTGCACCCATCATCAAAGGTAAAAAGATAATTAAGCTGGTTTTTCCTCACCAATTTTTATACAACAAATGCCACCTTGGGTGTGGCACTATAATTTAGAATGGCAATTTTAAATTTAAGAAAAATGGCTTAACAAAAAAGATTTTTATATTAGCAAAGTGTGACTATTTTACCATGGATCTAGTTGCAATCATGATTATACATAAGCTTTTAAAGATTTTTAGTAGGCTAGTCCACAGATCAACAAACTGGCCAAACCTGACACACCTTCTGTTTTTAACTGCCCTCACACTAAAAATGTTTTTCCATTTTAACTGGTTGGGAAAAAAACAAAAAATATGGCAACAGAGACCATACATAGCCCACCTCTGGGCTAGTCCATGTTAGGAGCTGGATTAAAAAAAAAAACCCAAAACAGACCATAATGTTTATTCTTTATTGCCCTGTCCTACCTGTTCTACTAGTTAATATATATATAGAGAAAGACAATATAAGAAGTAAGAAATCATTGTCGAATTTACCAAAGCATGGCCACAGCAAAAGTGTAATTTGAGGTAAGAACACAGAGAAAATTTCTAACCTCTAAATTTAAAAAGCCGGTGGTTTAACATTTTTGTTTTGGCTTTCAACATTTTCTCCTCTACTTTGTGGATGCCGGTGTGCATCAGATCTCAGGACGCATATGAAGGTACTTAACACTATCTAATTAGACTTCCGTTTTGACAAATTGTACCTCCTTTTTGACAAACTACTGCCCTGAGGATAATCCAGTAATAAAAATAATGGATATTATTCAAACAAACCAACAAAAATACATTTCTGAACTAAGTGGCTGCTGTATTGGGGGGAGAGGAAGATTCATTAGAACATTAACAATTACACCTAAGAATGATACATGACTTTTAAGTTTTAATGTATAAGGCACAATATTCTGTTGATACTAACTACAGACATAAGATTATCAAGAGTGGTAAAAAATACTAGGGCTTTTAACCTCCAAATATGAATATATTTGATTTAGTTGTGATGAGTGCACAGAATGCATACTCTCTGTGAGGTCACAAAATGTATTCTGTTACTTTTCCCACCTTTGGTAGATAAGTATCGCATTGAACAAATTACACTTATCACCTATGTTCCTGACTATAAATAGTTGTGACACATTTATTGGTTTGAAACTTTTTTCAAAGAGTTTATTTATACAAACTTCATAAGCTTCCTTTTCAGAAAAAAATCAGTGCCAGTCATTTAAAGGAAACATATCCAGCCTCCATCAAAAAACCTTAAGGTAATAGAAAATAAGGGGTTCCTTCTTGCACCCAGAGAAGATACAACATCGATTGAGACCCTTAGAATCTCTCTCACCACAGTGCTGCAGGCACCCCCTACAATTCAATTAGAGTTGGCATGGAAGTGAAGACCTAGTTGTCTTCTGTTAGCAAGTAATTTAAAGTTTATCACTTTCTGATGTCTTCTACTTTCACTCCAGGCAAGTCATATATGGACTACAAAAGAATAAGCAATTTACAACAATTACTAAGCTATCAAAATACTAAACAGAGATGAAAATATTCAGTTCACCACCAGTGTGAGGAAAAATATGTTCTTCCACCAATAAAAACTTCCACGAAAATTCACTTTAACAGAAGCCCAAAACTAATACCTAAGTGAAGCCTTAAATTAACACTCGAAAATGCTGCCTTAAATGTTACTATTCAAAACAATGATTTAGGAGCTTCAATACTTCGTTCGTATTTTATTCTTCTACTACCACCAACTGGAATACTTAAACTAAGCCATAGTGATTGTGCCAAAGTTAAAGTTGGGCAACTAGCTAAGCAATTATTCTTTAGTTAGTGGTAAGCACTCTACAGTCAGAAAGACCTAAGTTTGAGATCCAGTTTCCACCTGAAAAGGGAATAAGACCTACTTTAAAGAGTGGGGGGAGGGTTACTGTATAAATATCACTTGACAGAATCTATTATGACATTTATGAACTGCTCAGTAAATGGTATCTTATTTGCCAGTTTGGAATGTTATGTTCCAAGTTTCAAAGGGGAAACTGGTTATGAACAAACTACACTGTGATTTACTGAACATTGTTGCACATTAACAAACTGCAGGTCAACTGTCCTTCCTGGCAAAAGCAAGAGGATATTAGGTGCCTAACTTTATGCCTTGCTGCACTTCTCAGTCAAAAATAATTAAACCACAGAAGGATCCAGTATCTAGAATGTTAGCAAAAGGAGAGAGAAATGAAAATGATTTTAGACATAAAAATAAAGACCCACAACCAGGGGAGGGTAATAAGGTTTAATCCAGGGTATTACAATTTAACACCTACCACCCCTGAAGTTTTAGTAACTCCTAGATCTACAACAAATGTTCTCAGACTTGCCCATACAAGACAGTAATTCTGCTTTATCAAGCTTCGAGTGCACTAACACACAGGCAGAAGATTCGAGTACAGGCAGAGGCTGAACAGTAAATAGCTGGAGCCTGTACTCGTTCCCTATTAGAGACTGACGACCTCTGACTTCAGAGAGGACACATAGGACAGATTAGACTGTCGAACAAATAAAGTGTAGGCTACCTACGTAATTTAAGTTTTTTCTGGTAGCTGTATTAAAGAAATATGTGAAGCTAATTTGAAGATATTTAACAACCCATTATATCCACATAGCATTTCAACATGTAATTAATATTAAAAAAATTGAAGTTTCAGTTTTTAAAGTTAAATGAATTAAAATCAAAATTACAAATTCAGCTCAATTGCACTAGCCACATATGAAGTGCTCTGTAGCCATTCATGGCCATATTTACTTTTCCCATGGAATTCCTCTAAAACGGTAGGAGTACAGCAAAAATAGTTACACATGAATAGTTGTGATTTAAGATACCAATCTTGGCTGAAGACTCTGTACAACAAAGTTTGAGAACAGCTGCTTTAGAAAACTGGTTAAAAAATGCAGATTTCTAGGTTCCAACCCCAGAGACTAACAACCAAGGCTGGTTAGTTCTGTTCTGAAAAATGGATGACCAATATTATATGTGTGTGGGCAGGAATACTTGGTTCTTGAGGAAGTGCTAATTTTGATTTCCTTCTAAATTATATCCTTCTGGGAAAAGGATAATATATAAGAGAATGCCAATAGGGATGTTCCAAGTAAGGGAATAAAAAGGAGAGGGGAAACAGTTAAGAAGTGATTTTTCCCCTCTTTTTTCAAAATAGCAGTAATTAGATTTTATATATAAACAGTCCATTTTCAGCGTTTTTGTACTTGTAAATGAGGTAGTTCAGGATCTTGGGCTTCTGAAAGCTACGCAGTCTTACATACAGATGAAAAATTTTTCACAAAGGACTATATAACCACACACTATTTCAAGAATTATTTTGTAAGTTGACTATAATGTCAAATGTCTGAAATAGTTCAGAAAAAGTAACCCAGGCAATAAGTTAAAATTCTTTAAACTCTTAAAATTTAACTACCATATTTTGAGCCCTATTAGACAAGCACTGTGCTAAGAACCTTACATACTCTTTACACTCCAAATATCCCTATATATGAATGGTATTCACCATTATTAACCATTTTAAAGATGAAAAAGACAAGGTTTAGTAAGGTCAAGTAATTTGCTTAAGGTTACACAGCTATAAACCTAGTTTTAATTCAGGCCTGACTGACCCTAAAACTTGAGCTTGCTCTTTATCCTGAAGATCTAGTGACTGTCTCACGAAAGGCATACTTACTTACCTACTTCTCAATACAAGGAAAACCTTCCTCACACATTTACATAAGGAATACATTACCATCCGTTTCAGGGAGCTCTCTGTACCCAACACCATTTTTATCTACTGGGACAACCAAGCCTGCACCATGAAAGGTCTTTGTCACAACCTAAATAAAAAAAAAATACAACTATTGGTAAACAGACAAAATAGACATGGTAGATAGATAAAATCAACAAATGACAAACTCCAAAATACATGTACACACACAAACCCTCAACACTTATGTCAAAATGTTACATTTAATGACGTTTCATTCAACCTGGAGTCCACCACCAAAGTTTAATATTATTTCTTCAAAATCAGTAAAAGTTAAGCACGTGAAGAAATGATAGAACAGCGAAACTGGCTTTTACTAATTGCACTCAGGCAGAAGTCCACACCCTGATTTGGGAAGGAAGAATGCCAATGCATCCTATTATACGAGGCAAGCCAGAATGTAAGTTTTCTCTTAGGTCACTGTATTTTCCAGGTAGGAAGCATAAGGAACTGAGCCTTTTAGGCTCAGTTAGGAATAGTTTTTGTTAGCAGGAAAATGTAGTGGGACAGAATTCCTCTCATCCATCTTGCCAAGTTCAGGGCCTCCATTTTTACCTGGAAAATTCAGGCTTGTTTTTGCAAATTTCCCCAAAGTAGAGCAGTTTCCAGTGTTGTGGTGCCCTTTACAGAAGCGAAATAACATAACCAGTGATCTTTTATAGTGGTAATCTTCAAAGGCAAGAACAGGCCCAACCACAACCACCACCATACCCTTCCAGTCTACATTCTTTTTATTCACAATAGTGGTATTATTCTTAGGTCTTTCTTTAACAAAACAACTACTTCAAATATTACACTTATTTGTGCAGCCCAGTGAAAACTGCCAAGACAGAAGAAGGACACAAGCCCAAAATTAGCGCTTTGTTTTAGTCTTCTCACCTAAGTCTCTAGATTTTTTTTTTTAAGATTTTATTTATTCATTTGAGACACAAAGAGAGAGAGAGAGAGAGCATGAGCAGGGAGAGAGGCAGAGGGAGAGGGAGAAGCAGGCTCCCTGCTGAGCCAGGAGCCTGATGTGGGGCTCAATCCTAGGACCCAGGGATCACGACCTGAGCCCAAGGCAGACCTTAACCACCTGAGCCACCCAGGCGCGGCGCTAAGTCTCCAGATCTTAAAATCTGTTTCACTCAGATGACCCCAACCTCCTGCTTCTTTCATTCTTTCATAAGTAAGAGAAGGGACAGATTATTCAAAATAAGTTCTCAGATAACAGCTCACCATTTGGAAAAAACAAAGTCATAGTTATATCTTACTCTTTATACCAAAATAATTTGCAGTTGGATGTCAGGATTAAATGTAAAAATAAAACCAATGAAACCTCTAGAAGGCAAATATTTTTAATAATTTTAGATGGGAGAAGGAAAAGACAGACTTGATTATGTAAAATTTAAAAAATCAAATAAAAATCAAGAACAAAAGATACTAATAAAAAATATCTGCAATATATATAACAATAAAAGTAAGATTAATGTCTTTATAAAGGAGTCTTACAAGGAAAAAACACCCAACTTAAAACACAAATAAGAAAAGGTGAATTCTGGTGTTATACACAAACAATAAATCATGGAACACTACATCAAAAACTAATGATGTAATGTATGGTGATTAACATAACAATAAAAATTTAAAGACAAAAAAAAAAAAGAAAAAAGAAAAGGTGAATTCTAACCCTGACAGAAAAATGGCCAAACTTCAGGCAGTTCACCACAGAAATACAAATGGCCAGTAGATAAGTGAAAAATATATAATGTCCTTTATAATCAAAGAAATGCTAATTAAAACAATGACCTATCATTGTACATTTATGCAAGTGGAAAAGACCAAAAGGGACTGCTAATACCTAGTAGTGGCAAAGGTATGGGGAGAACAAGCACTCAATCGTTGCTGGTGGGAATGTAAACTAGCTTCACTCAGACAAGGAGTTCTGCAAACAAAGAAAATAAAAAACTCCACAAAATGAAAAACCAGCAAAGAAAAACAACATACACAGCCACTCTAAATCACTCTGGACCTGGCAATACTACATCTAGTAATTTCTTCTAAGGAAATAATAAAACAAGTGTGCAAAGAAAGGTATGGAAAGTTGTATGTGGCAGGATTTGTCTTTGTTTGTGAAAAGTTTTAAGCAACCTAAGCTATGAACACAGAACAGTGCTCTGTAGCCATTCTAAAATTTATGAGGTGGGTCTTCAATTTAGCAATATGAAATGATAATCTAATCACAAACATAAAATAGCAGGTCATAAAACAGTATTGATAATGACAGAAAAAACAGCCATATAGTTACTGGCTTATTTTCTCTTCCACTCAGGCTGACATACAACAAAACCATGGGATGTCCCTATTTTCATATTTTTCACAGATGATTAACTGCACTAATTTTCCATAAAGGGGTAGCAATTATTAGCAAAGCACCAGAATCCTAGTTTTATTACGAATAATAGAATTACAAATTTAGGAAAACCCTGTGCAAGGGTGGGGGATATTCTGAGGCATCAGAATCAGAGGACGGAATGATAGAAGGATGTATCCTCATTTTATAGCAACATTAAATCAGCGTTCATTTTTATTTTTTATTTATTTTTTTTAAAGATTTATTTATTTATTTTGAGAGTGAGAATGAGAGAGAGAGAGAGAGAGTACATGAGAGGGGGGAGGATTAGAGGGAGAAGCAGGCTCCTCGCTGAGCAGGGAACCCAATGCGGGACTCGATCTTGGGACTCCAGGATCATGACCTGAGCCGAAGGCAGTCGCTTAACCAACTGAGCCACCCAGGCACCCCAGCGTTCATTTTTAAACATGAAATCTAGGTATAAAAAAAGGTAAAGTGGCATACGGCCAATCAGTAAGATGGAGTGGAAAGAAAGCTAAATACCAAACATGTGAATTTAGGTTTCAGGTCACTTATGATTTTAAACAAGGAACAAAGCCTCTGTAAACCCTGATTTACTGATCTATGCTACAGGATAATAATTCCTCCTTTGTTTGCGGGTTTGTTGTAGAGGTTGAATGAGGTAACTCGTAAGGGCTTTGCATTCCAAAACACCATAATGTATCATCAGTATAAAAACAATTGTTTCTTGCATATTATATAGTGCACTATTATACGAGAATGGATATATTACTCTCCTACATAAGGACAAAGTCACTAATATACGAATGGAACTGAATTTTTTGGAACTAGAAAAATAAGAATTAAATGAATATCTGACAATAAAAGAACAAACTTCCTTTTTAATAGAAAAGGAACAAAAAGCAAAACCACCAACTGGTTGTCTTTGGGAGGATAAAATTACGGTTGTCTTTTAAGGTTTTTTTTTTTCCTTTTATATTTATGTTTTTACCAGTTAATTTTGTGAACAGAAAAAAATATATACTAAAAAGAAACCTCATGGGGAAGGGAGCTAGGACAAACATACCTATGACATTTAAACTCCAATGTCATCTTCTAGTTAAGGGGAAGAATTAAGGAAATCTCATCTGAAATTATAACTGATGGTAGAAAAATAAAATAAGGTTCTGATGAAAGAATTTGTTACCAGCTATTTTGTCTACAGAAGTACAGTATTTAGTCAAGATAAATTAGGAATAGAGAAGTATGAGGCAAGAAATGTTCATTAGGTGGGAGAGGCTCCCTGTGGAAACTAGGAAGGTAAATGGCAATACAACATCTTGAAGTAATTTAAAAATGTCCCTACTGAAGTGACTTTCATTCAAATGCACAGTTTTAGAATTATTTCTGGCCTCTAGGACTAAAGGAACACTTGCTGAGACTGCAGTTTAGTGACTATAACTTCTGTGAGCATCATGCCTGCTGCTGAAGTAGGATTTTCAATAACCAAATACACTAAACTACTTAGTTACCAGTGATAGTTTATCCAGGAATAACTAGTACTTAATTTGGCCTAGAACTTTCAGATGAACCAGCCACAGCTGGTAATGGTGGGAAACTGGAGTGCCCTCATTGCACAGTGATAAATATCTTTCTTTACCAGAGGTTATAAGAACAAAATCCTATAGAATTCTCATTTACCCCAAAGCAGAATTCTTCTATGTTGTCTGTTAACTTATTCTGAAATTTTTAACTTCAGATCCAAAAGGATCCAAGACCCAGAAGTCTTTGCTGTTTATAAAACACTTCACTCACAATGCAGGTGTTAGGAGAGATGCAAAAGGAAATGCCAATGGGACCAATAAGGGAAAAGGAGACAGGACAGCTTAGACACACATTTGCTGCAGAAAATGAGCAAATCTCAATACACACTGTCTTCCAAAAGGGAACTACCTTTAAAGCCCTTAACTAAACCACTCTAAGGCATACCTTCACAAAACTACTCCCCCAAAACACCTTGCACTAAATCAACCATCGTTAGCTATTAAAGAAATTTAGGTAAATACTAGGCACAAAGCTGCTTTCACTCAATTCTATGAGATGAATAACTGGTAAAACAAGATGAAAAGAGTGGAAGTCCTGGCATGAGCTAGCAACCAGAGCAGCGCTATTTGCTCGTGTGCCTCAGCCCGCCTAACAACTTATGGGAGCCACCCAAGCCCTGCTCCAGTGCCATCCTTAGAGCAATCCAGAGGCTGGACAGCCCTGGAGGGAGCCCCTGATGGGGGACATCTAGCTCTCCTCAGGATGGGGCAGGAGAGGAAAAGGATAAGGTGTAGGTGGGAAGGAATCAAGAGAGGAAAAAATCCGATTAGGTAGCAAAACAGTCTGAGACTAACAGATTTAAACCATACTTTCTTATCTCTCTGTTTCATCTTCATGGTTCTCTGTTCCAGTGGGTACCCCAGTTCTCTGGCTGCTTCTGTTAGTTTTTCATCTATGTTTTTCAAGAGACTAGTTTTCTTTTTATCTGTTACTTCCTTAAGTTTTTTCATCAGAAATAATCTGAAAAAGAAGTAAAAGCCCTCATTATTATGCAGGCCCCTGTACTAAGGGCACAGACCTTGGGAAGTTAAGGGAGTACATTATAGACATCAAATTCCATGCAAGAGAAAGACTGCAGAATAATTACCAACAAATCTCTCAGAACCCCTAATAGACTTCTTCCAACAAGAGAAAGGGCAATTATTAATAAAAAAGCTACCAATCACAGAAACAGCAAACATGATTCAAGTTTGTATTGTCTCTGTAATGTCTATAATAAAGATATAAAAGGTAACTTCAAAAGCTGAGATTCAAACCAATTTTAACCCATATCACTTGACATTAACATATGGCATACTGATTTGGAGAAGTGTGGCAAAACAGAGGAAAACAGTATGTAGATACCAAAAAGAATTTTTTAAAAAGAGCCGGAGGATACTTAAAATACTTAAGATCAGCAGATTTTTTTCAAATGTTACCTACAAATTTGTGTTAGGGTAAATTTAGAAACTACAAAAGGAAATCAAAGCTATTTTATAAGCTTATACAAAAGCACAATCCAAAATAATTTTATTTATTTTTTTAGACAGAGTGCACATGAGCAAGCATGGGGAGGGGCAGAAGGAGAAAGAGAATCCCAAGCAGGCTCCATGCCCAACGCAGAGCCTGTTGTGGGGCTCATCTCATGACGCTGAGATCATGACCCAAGCCGAAATCAAGATTTGGATGCTTAACCAACTGAGCCACCCAGGCACCCCTGAAATAATTTTAAAGTATGTGAAAAGTACATTAATGCCAGTTATAGAAATAATTTCATGTTTTATCATAGGCAGGGTAAGACTTTGCCAGCAGAGCAGAAGGTCAAGTGTAAAATGGAGAGCTGGAAGCAGCACTCAGTTGGACACGGAACTCAACCCCCTTCCTCTATAGCCACCTCTAGATGCCCAGTAGGAAACTTGCCTCTCTTCACTACTAACATTTGACAGTTTGCTACAGGCTGGGCACTGTAAAGAGCTTAGAACATTTAGAGTGGGTGCTATTCTTATCCCCATTTTACAAATAAGGAAACTGAGTCACAAAGGATTATCAACCTACCCAGTTCATAGAATTAGTATGAGTACATTAAAGTGCACAGAATCCAAGACCACCAAAATCACTGTCTTCAGATTACAGTACATGTATCACACCTAATGTTACCTTCAATCTTAACCAGCTGTATATCAAGAGAATGTATTTACATTAACCATAAAAAGCAAATTGATCATGTCAGGCCTAGGTGAATCAATCTTTATGTCTTCCTTACCCTGTCTGGCATATGGGCATACAGGCCTTCAAGTAATCTGTGCCACCTGTTTTCATACTTCCATGCACGTACTATTCCCTTGCCTAGAACACCTTTCTTCCCATTCTTTTTTTTTTTTTTTTTAAAGATTTTGTTTATTTATTTGACAGAGAGAGACAGCGCGAGCGTGAACACAAGCAGGGGGAGTGGGAGAGGGAGAAGCAGGCCTCCCGCCGAGCAGGGAGCCCGATGTGGGGCTCGATCCCAGGACCCTGGGATCATGACCTGAGCCGAAGGCAGACGCTTAATGACTGAGCCACCCAGGCGCCACCTCTTCCCATTCTTTTAGTAAGTTCTTATACATTCGTCAAGGTCTAGGTAAAATATCCTTTCTATGAAGACTTCCACCACTATTTAAGGCACTTAGTAGCTGTCTTCCCGTACTTATCGCATTATTATGACTATTTCTGTATCAGTTTATTAAGCTTTGGTCTCTTGGCTTCAAACCTACTCTCCATTACCCTGCTTTGTGATGCTTAAAGTTGAAAGATGCAAACTGAAACAACCACCATGAACATTTTATACTGTTACATTAAATCTGCTGGGATATACCTTGAACACTGAATGAATCCTTCAGTGGTCATTTGGAAAATATTGGTTAAGTTATGCAGATCTTACAAATTTAAAAATTTTTCATTTTATCGATTCTCTCCATTACAGAAATTGAAGATGACACAAACAAATGGAAAGACATTCCCATGCTCATGTATTGGAAGAATAAATATTGTTAAAATGTCCATACTACCCAAAGCAATCGAGAGATTTAATGCAATCCCTATCAAAATACCAACAGCATTTTTCACGGAACTAGAACAAACAATCCTCAAATTTGTTATAGACCCACGATTGACCACAGATAGCCAAAGGAATCTTGAAAAAGAAAAAGCCGGAGGTATCACAATTCCGGATTTCAAGTTATACTACAAAACTGTAGTAATCGAAATAGTATGGTACTGGCATAAGAATAGACACAGATCAGTGGAACAGAATAGAAAGCCCAGCAATAGACCCAAAATTGTATGGTCAATTAATCTTCAACAACGAAGGCAGGAATATGCAGTGGGGGAAAAAGTCCCTTCAACAAATGGTGTTGGGAAAACTGGACAGCTATATGCAAAAGAATGAAAATAACTGGACCACTTTCTTACACCATACACAAAAACTCAAAATGGCTTAAGGTCCTAAATGTGAGACCTCAAACCATAAAATTCCTAGGAAAGAGCACAGGTAATAATTTTTCTGACATTGGCTGTAACAACAGCTTTCTAGATAGGTCCCCTGAGGCAAGGGAAAAAAAGCAAAAATGAACTACTGGGACTACAGCAAAATGAAAAGCTTCAGCACAGGAAAGGAAAAATCAACAAAACTAAAAGATAAGCTACTGAATGGGAGAAGATATTTGCAAATGACATATCTGATAAAGGGTTGGTATCTAAAATATATAAAGAGCTTATACAGCTTAACACCCAAAACACAAATAATCCAATTAAAAAACAGGCAGAAGACATGAACAGACCTTTCTCAAAACATACAGATGGCCAACAGACACATGAAAAGATGCTCAACATCACTCATCAAGGAAATGCAAATCAAAACTACAATGAGGGGTACCTGGCTGGCTCAGTCAGAAGGGCATGTCTCTTGATCTTGGGGTTGTGAGTTTGAGCCCTACGCTGGGTGTAGAGATTACATATATATATACATACATACAAACATACGTACATAAATAAATAAAATGAAATACCACCTCATACCAATCAGAATGGCTAAAATCACCAACACAGAAAGAAGTGTTGGTGAGGACGTGGATAAACAGGAACCCTTATGCACTGTTAGTGGGAATGAAAACCGGTGCAGCCACTGTGGAAAACAGTATGGAGGGTCCTCAAAAAATTAAAAATAAAATTACCATATGATCTAGTAAGCACGCTACTTGGTATTTACCCAAAGAACACTAATTTGAAGGGACTTATATACCCCCCTGTATGTTTACTGCAGCATTATTTACAATAGCCGAATTATGGAAGCAGTCCATGTGTCCATCGATAGAAGAATGGATAAAGAAGATGTGGTACATATATACCATGGAATATTATTCAGCCCTAAAAAAGAATGAAATCCTTGCCAACAACATGGATGGATAGAGTATAATGTTAAGTGAAATAAGCCAGTCAGAGAAAGAGAAATACCCTATGATTTCACTCATATATGGAATTTAAGAAACAAATGAACAAAGGGGTAAAAAGACAAACCAAAAAAACCCAGATCCTTAATTATAGAGAACAAACGGATGATCACAAGGGAGGTGGGGGAATATGTAAAGGGAATTAAGAGTACACTTATCTTGATGAGCATGGAGTAATATATGGAATTGCTGAATGACTCTTGTACACTTGACACTAATATAACACTGTATGTTAACTACACTGGAATTAAAATAAAATTTAAAAAATAAATATTCTCTCCATTTTCCATAATGTGGAAAAAAAATCTCATTAAGAAGTCTTTAGGTAGTGAGAAGTGATCAAGTTCACAATGGTGGTTACAAGTTTCCTTAACTCTAATTTTTGCTTTTGAAATCTTAAATTTTATCACTGAACAAATATAGTCACAGTTGTTTTCTTGGCTCATTTGAGAAAATGCCAATACCCATGTCAGAACATCCAGTTTGTCAGTCACTCACTCTCTCAAGTAAGTAAACTAGAGAAAAGTTCAGCTCCCAACTCAATCTCACAAGACCATTTTCCTTGAGACAGACCTTAACATTTGAGTATGCAGATGTGCTTTCCCCGTACTTCCCATTTCATCACATGAAATGTTAAACAGATGTGTGTACTCAATGGTAGAGATCTAGTATCTTTACTGCTTCATCACTGAGCTTCTTAAATGACATTCGCATTATATTACTGCTGTGAATAATACAATGACAACTGCAAATCTGGTGCCACCGCCTTGATTTCTGCCAAGGTACCATCAGTATTACCCACCTTTACCTTTGTGCCACTGGTGCAAAAATGATGTATTATCACAAATAGTTTTGAACTCACAGGCCTGCTAAAAAAGTGTTAGGCACCTCTGGAAGTCCACACACCACTGTTTGATAACTGCTGTTTAGGTTACGGCTTCAAACCTGAATATGTATCAAGAACCTCCTGGATTACTGGTTAAAAGTACTCTGAGCTTGACACGTCTCCAAAGGCAAGGGAAGCAAGGGCAAAAATGAACTATTGGGACTTCATCAAGATAAAAAGCTCTATAAAGCAAAGGAAACAGTCGACAAAACCAAAAGACATCTGAGAATGGGAGAAGACATATGCAAATGACATATCAGATAAAGGGCTAGTATCCAAAACCTATAAAGAACTTACCAGACTCAACACCCAAAGAACAAGTAATCCAATCAAGAAATGGGCAGAAGACATGAACAGACATCTCTGCAACAGACAGATGAAAAAATGCTCAACAGCACTCGGCATCAAGGAAATACAAATCAAAACCTCAAAGAGATGCCACCTCACACCAGTCAGAATGGCTAAAATTAACAAGTCAGGAAACGACAAGGATGAGGGGAGAAAGGGGAACCCTTTTACACTGTTAGTGGGAATGCAAGCTGGTGCAGCCACTCTGGAAAACAGTATGGAGCTTCCTTAAAAAGTTGAAAACAGAGATACCCTAAGACCCAGCAATTACGCTACTGGGTATTTACCCCGAGGATGCAAATGTAGTGATCTGAAGGGGCACCTGCACCCCAATGTTTATAGCAGCGATGTCCACAAAAGCCAAACGATGGAAAGAGCCCAGATGTCCACTGACAGATGAATGGATAAAGAAGAAGTGGTATATTATACAATGGAATATTATGCAGCCATCAAAAAATGAAATCTTGTGATTTGCAATGACATGGATGGAACTAGAGGGTATTATGCTAAGCAAAATAAGTCAGAGAAAGACAATTATCATATAATTTCACTGATATGTGGAATTTAAGAAACAAAACAGAGGTGCCTCGAAAAATTAAAAATAGAGCTACCCTATGACCCAGCAATTGCACTACCGGGTATTTACCCCAAAGACACAGATGTAGTGAAAAGAAGGGCCATATGCACCCCAATGTTCATAGCAGCAAAGTCCACAATAGCCAAACTGTGCTGAAATGCCCTTCAATAGATGAATGGATAAAGAAGATGTGGTCCATATATACAATGGAATATTACTCAGCCATCAGAAAGGATGAATACCCAACATTTACATCAACATGGATGGGACTGGAGGAGATTATGCTAAGTGAAATAAGTCAAGCAGAGAAAGTCATATGGTTTCACTTATTTGTGGAACATAAGGAATAGCATGGAGGACATTAGGAGAAGGAAGGGAAAAATGTAGGGGGGGAAATCAGAGGGAGAGACGAACCATGAGAGACTATTGACTCTGAGAAACAAACTGAGGGTTTTAGAGGGAAGGGGGATGGGGGGATAGGTTAGCCCGGTGATGGGTATTAAGGAGGGCATGTACTTCATGGAGCACTGGTTGTTACATGAAAACAATGAATCGTGGATCACTACATCAAAAACTAATGATGTATTGTATGGTGACTAATATAACATAATAAAATTAAATTAAAAAGAAAAAAAAAGAAACAAAACAGAGGATCATAGGGGAAGAGAAGAAAAAATGAAGCAAGATGAAACCAGAGAGGGAGACAAACCATAAAAGACTCTTACTCATAGTAAACAAACTGAGGGTTGCTGGAGGGGAGGAGGGTGGAGGGATGGGGTAACTGAGTGATAGACATTATGGAGGGCATGTGACGTAATGAACACTGGTTGTTATATAAGACTGATGGATCACTGACCTCTACCTCTGAAACCAATAATACATTATATGTTAATTAAAAAAATTATAAGCACATATTATCAATAACTTTATTGTAATCAACAGAATTTTAAACAAAAATAATCAAGAAAATGAAATTAAAAAAAAAGTACTCAGAACTTATGTTTGAAAAATCACTGCCTACAGTAATAAATCCATATTACCCAGTATAGCAAGGTAGGGTGGCAGAAAATGTGGGGGCAGCAGGCAAAAGGAAAGAAGATTATTTAACAAGTTGACCCATGATCTGATGTACTGGCCACATTTATTCTTTTACTAAGTACCAAATGTTTTGCATTGTATTTGGGCCTGCACAAAGTAAGCATTCATTAAATGAATGTTTACTCATTTCAAATGTTCATTTAAAACTTAATTAAAATTATAGAAGTATAATTTTGGGCTACATTTAGATATACTCATAACAGGTATTTTAAAAAGATATTCCTGAGTCCTAGTCTAGATGTACTTAAGTGGCATCTCTAGAAGTGAGACCTGTCGAGCTCAAGGTAAAGTACCTTTAAGCAGTAACTCATGAAGTTCTGATACACAGGTTTGAAACCATTAACTAAATATCAGTTATCAAAGAATGGTCTGGGGACTCTGTGGGGTCCCTGAAACCTTGCAGGAGGTCTGTGAGGTCAAAACTACTGCTACAATTATTTTAGAGGGGGAAAAAAAGTGAAAAGAAAAAAATTATTCTTAATTTTTGTGGTCCAAAGATAAATATTTTATAGACCATATGAAAATGGAATCATCCCGTTATTCTTTTATTTGACCTCTTCACATAATGTAATAAAAATCTTTCCAAATCAACAAATCAATAACTTGGTATTATAGTGTACTGACATTCCATATTTATTTATCTAATTTCCCCTATTTCTAGGCAGTGGTATTTTCTCCAGTTTCTCGTTTTTATAAATAATCTCTAATATATACACATATTTGTGTACCTGTCCAAAATTTCTTTAGATAAATAGCTAGGGATGCCTGGGTAGCTTAGTTGGGTAAGCCACTGACTCTTGATTTTGGCTCAGGTCAAAATCTCGGGGTTGTGGGATCGAGCCCCGAACTGGGCTCCGTGCTCAGCGTGGAGTCTGCTCCTCCCCGACTTGTGCAAGTGCACGCGTTCTCTCACTCAAATAAATAAATAAAATCTTAAAAAAAAAAGATAAATAGCTAGAAATGGAATTGCTGATTTAAGGATATAAATGTTTACTTAGCTCAATACCTGGCAATGTTAATTATTTATCAAGAAATCTTTTTTTTTAAGATTTTATTTATTTATTTGACGAGAGAGAGAGCAGAAGCAGGGGGAGTGGGAGGCAAAGGCAGAGGCAGAAGCAGGCTCCCCACGGAGCAGAACGCGGGGCTCGATCCCAGGACCCCAGGATCACAACCTGAGCCCAAGGCAGATGCTTAACCGACTAAGCCACCCAGGTGCCCCGAGAAATCTTTAAAAAATAAATAACCTTATTCCAACCGCTCTCTGTAAAGGTTTTAATTAACACTTCTATCAATAAGATTTCTTACATCCTAACCATCAATGAGTATTACCATTTTCTAATCTTTAGTAATTTTTGCTGGCTGAATTTGTATTTCTTTGGCTATTGTTACTATTTTTAAAGATTTTATTTATTAATTTGAGAGAGAGAGCATGAGCGGGGGGGTGGGAGTAGGGGCAGAGGGAGAGGGAGAAGCAGACTCCCTGTTGAGCAAGGAGCCTGACACGGGGCTCTTTCCCAGGACCCTGAGTTCATGACCTGAGCCTAAGGCAGATGCTTAACTGACTGAGCCCAGGCACCCTTTTCTTTGGCTATTATTAAATCTTACACAAAGAGAACCAGTTTCTCTGGGCATAAAAATAATTTGTTTATTACAAGTGGTCTTCCTTAAAAAGACCTTACTCAGGTTGATATAGAAATAAACTAAGTGTTCTCATTAGTTCATTTAAGTAAAGGAAGGAAATAACATTAAGTACTCAAATACTTCCTGGTCTTCACCTAAATTATAAATTATCACCAATTTTTTTTTTTTTTGTGCTCTCCAATGAGCTAAAAAACAAAACAAAACAAAAACCCAGAACAGTCTTGGATTATTTTAGACAACCACTATATCTTTCTTTTTGAAAAAGATTTTTAGTAAGACTAATAGACTAATGAAAAATTAGGCATTTTTGCATGCCCAAGTATATGGAGAATGAATTAATTATTTATGGAGCATCTATTACAGGGCAGGTACTGTGTGCGAGGAAAAGCCTCTCTGCCCTCATGGGACTTGTATGTTAATGCGAGAGACAGACAATAACTATAGTTTCTAATAAAGATACCACCAATTTAAATTGAATAAATCTAAATAGCTTAAAAGAATAATAAATTATAAATAACAAGACACATTTTATAAAAAACTCAGAGGTATCAGGAGACAAAGAAGAACTGTTTTTGGACATCTACCATACAGTTGCTCTTTTGGATACATGGGTAGGTATGTAGCAGTCTAGAGGGGGCACTGGCTGACTTAGTTTAAATTCTGTTTACTGCAAATTTGCAATATTAAGTCACAGAGAATATAAGTCTTTTTTAAATAGGGTATTAAAAGAGGTCACAGAAAACATGGCCTATTTATAGCTAAGTTGACAAAGATGGCTTTCTTCATTTTATTACAACGTGAACTGCCCAGCTGGGGCGAGAGGCTTCAAATCATGTCTGTGGCTGGTAGAGTGTGGAATGGCTCAAGAGGCTCCATTCCGAACCCCCTTCACAGAAGAGCTTGCTATACTTCCCAGACTATTCTTCAGCTCAGGCTCCACGTGGGGCCTAGCTTCTCTCAAACAGAAACAATTCCTTAAAAACTGAAAGGCAGGAAGAGATACTAGGTGGAGACTGTGTGTCTGTTTCTACCAGTGAGTCCAGTAGAGGCATCCGATGTGCAGCGGAGATTTCAGCACCTGGTCCTTAGCTTCCTTCCCGGTTGAGAGACAGAGCACCCCTTTTACTACCACAGGTTAAATCCAAGACAATGTGGTCCTAGAGCCACTCGTGGCAGGGGATCTTGACTTTCTCAGCTTCCTGATGGTGGCAGAGAGAGCCAGTGCTGCCACACAACTGGTGTTCCCAGAGACTTAGTTGGCTCCACTGAACCTTCCAAGGATTTCATGAGCACCTTTTTTTTTTTTTAATTCTAGTATAGTCAACATATAGTGTTATATTAGTTTCAGGTGTACAATATAGTGAGTGATTCAACAATTTATGAGCACCTGGTTTTACTGTATTAAATCTTTGTTAGAACTGTACACAATGGGTTCTTATAATGAACTCTTGATGATGCTGTTTAAAATGTCTAAAAAATCTTTTGGTTTTGCTAGAGGACTAATGAAGTCAGGATTAAGTAATCTTTTCCTTAAATAAAATAATTAATTATATAAGAGGTATTTTTTTTTTTTTTGGTGAAAAGTAGAAGTGTGGATAAGAGTATCTGCAAAAGTCATGGACATGATCTTTAGAAATCTAAAATTTTGGAGTTACCTCAATGTCCCTCAGTGATGGACTTAGAGAGTAGTATAAAAACTGTAAACAAATATTATAAATAGGAGAAGGATTAAAATATTTTCTTACTTGATTGCAGCAAACACATTATCTCCATTTTGAACAATTATGCAGTTTTTCTTTGCTTCATTTGTACCAACATATACAGGAAGTTCATCAGGTGAATCCCTGTTTAAGCAAAAGATATTAAAAATTTAGCTGTCCATAATCTATCCGGCAAGTAGAATTTTAGGCTTATACACAACAATTTATGTCTGTAGGTTTTTAAGAAATTGGGACAAATTTGCCAGGTTCCTAAGAAACTTAGTCTAAGTTTCTTAGGAATATCTACAACAAATCTTACTTATATAATAGATCCTAAAATTAAAATTCTTAGACCTAGTTACTTTTATACCTAAATACAAAGAAAGGGGGAATAAGGCCTGTCAAAAGGAAGGAAAATTATATGTGATCCTCTCTACCAGTTTTATAGTCTGTGGAAAAAAAAAAGGTGGAGAAACATATATATATATATATATATATATATATATATATAAATC